AGGGATCCATCCCTCTCCCCAGTATTATCACATACAGAGGCCAGGCCCACTGCTACTCATGGACAGCCAGGCCAGCGTCTTCCTCTCTGCCCAGTGCCACAGACAGTTAGGGTCCCTTCAGAGTGTGGGTAGAGTAAATGTACATCATGTGTAAATGTGGTTCCTCCTGGCACATGGCAGAAGATCAAAAGATGTCAGCGTGGAAAGCCCTGCCTGTGGGGCTGAGAGATGGCTCAGTCAGTAAAGAGATTGTCATACAAACTTGAGGACCCAAGACATCCCCAGGACCCATGTAAAAAGCTGGGTCCAGAGGGGAGGGGACTGGCTGCAGACCACTGGTACTGGGAAGCTGGTTCCATGCAGGAGCTGCCAAGCGGGCAAGGCAAATGGAGATGTTCCTTGTAGGAGTCACGGCCCTCCTATGGGAGGATCTTGGGGAGGATTCGGAGAGGAGATGGGTAAGAAGAGAGCGGGCTGTACCCAGGAGATGCCGGGCAAGTGAGAAGGAAGGGTGGACTGATATGCAGGAGTCTGAACAGGTCCTGGGAGTCTGGCTCCTCTGTGGATGTGCAAGCCTGGGGCAGCGCAAGGTAGGCTTGTCAGGAGTACAGTGAGGTACCCTGAGAAGTCACCCACACTTTGAGAGGGAAGCCAGCCCTTGTGGTTATGGAGGCAGAGGTGCTCTCTGAACTTGAGAAACATCTGCCATGGAGCCAAGGGACACCACGCCACGCAGTGGATTCTGTGTTTAAAGTCTTTGTGATGTCTGCGAGCACCGGGGACAGCAGGGCTCCCCGCACAGTGCCTCTGGCTCCTGCCTGCCCCACATGGTTGATTCTAGCTTATGCTGAGCTCCTCCTTGAGCTCCTCCTTGTGGTTCAGTGATGCTGAGTCAAAAGGGACCAGGAAGAGCAAAGAGATCTCGTAAACAGAACTGGGATGTTTACTGTGGCCTGGGAGCCACCTGTGTGCAGAGAAATCATGGGCTCAGGCACTCGCCTAGGGGTCAGAGGGCCCTTAAGTTCCATCCCTGAACCCATATGCACACCAACAAAACCAGCAGAAAACAACAGACTCATTAACTCTCCGCAGCAGCCCTTCTGTGTCTGAGTGGGGCAGCAGAGGCGCTTCACAAAACAAATGGAATAAATTAAATTTGTAAACTCAGTTTAAAATGTCGGAGGGCAATTTAATTAGCAGGATTGATGATGAGGTTTCCATGGCTGGAGTTGGTCAAACATGAATCAAGGGCCCCTTCAAACATGATTTGAAAATTCCCAGATGTGTGCCAAATAAATAAATATGATTCTTAGGTTGAATATGCTTAAGAAATTACCTTTGAAAATTAATATTGACAGAGTCTATGTTATATATTCTTGTCAGAGGAAGTTAGTTATTTTTGTGGGTATGTTATGTGCGTGCGTGCGTGCGTGCGTGTGTGTGTGTGTGTGTGTGTGTGTGTGTGTGTGTGTGTTCTCAGCAGCTTCCTAGGAGAAATAAATGTGCTTGAATAGCTAAGTCAGCACCAGGGGACCAAACGCCAAGTAGAAGTGGGATGGTGACTTTGATCCTGCAATCCCTCCTTTCCAGGCTCCATCTCCTACCCTCTGCACCAGCGAGAGTTAATTCAGCTACAGGCGTGAGGTGAGAAGGCACCTGGCAGAGAGGACCTGCAGGCTTGGAGGGCGTGGTTCAGCTTTGTGGAAGGCCCACACCCGCCTGTGAACCTTCCAGAAAGGAACTGAAATCTCTGTGACAGCCCAAAGCATGCTGGTCATTGCTCCAAGGAGGACCCACGTGGTAAGCGCACATCTGTGACCCTGAGAAGGGATGGGGCGGGTCCAATGTACCTGCATGGCGGGGAGCCCATAGCTGCTCTTGAGAAACTAAGTTAGTAACGGTGCCCATTCTGGAGGGAGAGAATTACGAACCATTCCCTGGACCTGACTTTTGCAACAGTGGTTCAGCTCCTTAGGGAAGCTGGATGCCATTAGAAATAGGACTCAAAGCCAAGAAACGCCATGGGGATCGATGGCAAGCGGTTAGATGGCAGTCAATAGACAGCAGGGGAAAGGGTTCAGAAAAGAGCACCCCCAGCCAGGCCCTGTGAGGTTAACTTGTTTATGGGTACCCGGAGAAAGGCAAGTGGCCACTTCCTCCCCAGAAGCAGCTCCAGAACGCAGCATGGGTCATTGTGAGCCAGAGGTTACTCCAGCTGCCGTGGTGACATGCCCAGCTGACCACGTGCCCATCCAAGCTTGCCAGGACAGCACCTGGAGGTCCTGGAGGTGGAAACCCCAGCAAGGGTAGACTCTTATGGTTTGCTCAGAGACACCCCAGGGTGTGCTGGGTAGGACAGTCCACTTATCTGCCCCAGCCTGATTCATGACTGGTGGTATCCACCTTCTGTTCCCTCTAGGCTCCTAGAAGGGAGGGGGTCAGGGAGAATGGGGGGTCCCAGGGCAGCTACCCACTCTGCTCATCTCCTCGGTATGTGAGGTATTGCCAGTCCAGCCATTGCACTGGGATGCCGTGATGTCACGTTGCACATGGCAACCAAGAGCCATTGTGGGCAGGGCTGGACTGGAGGTCCCACGGTGCCCCTAACACACGGGGGAGTCCCAGTAATCACACCCAATCGTCTTTTCCTCCTAGAAATGGAAAAGGAGGAAAGGAGGGGACTTTTCCCCAGGAAGCCTACTGAGTAAAGTGGAAATCAGTGCTCCCTCCCCACAGGTCCCATTCCCCACTTCCTGTAACTCGGTGTGCAGAAGAGAACCACAGGGTCCTGAGCTCAGTGACTACTGTCATCTCTAAGGACCCGTGCCAACAGACACAGACCTGCAGAAAAACTCCAGATTCATCTTCGCTTAAAGGCAGGGAGTATAAATCCAGCAAACAAGAGAAGTCAGAGTTGTGCTTGCAGCAGAAACACAAGGGTTTGCAATGCCCTGGGTGCAGGCTTGGCTCAGGACTCCACCTAGTGGTGGTCATGGAGAGCTGCAGCTTGGGCAAAGCTCAGAGGTTCTCCATTAGTTCACCAGACCCTCCTCCATCAGACCCTACACCTCCATCAGACCCTCCTCCATCAGACACCCCTCCTCCATCAGAATCAGCCTGCCCCAGACCCCCCACTTCCATCAGATCTTTACTTCCATCAGACCCTCCTCCATACGTCCTTCACCTCCATAAAATCTTCCTCTGTCAGACCTTTCTTTCACCTGCAACCGACTCCCCACCTCCATCAGACCCTCCTCCATCAGACCTTCCACCTCCATCAGACTTTCTCCTCCCATAGCTCTTCCTCTACCACACCCTCCACCACAGACTTCCTTTCCTTAATCTTCGACCTCCACAGGGTCTCAGGAAGTGTATTCTATGTCTCAAGGTCAGGATGCCCAGGGACCCAGACAGAACTACAGCAAACAAAGGTTGAGCTCTTTGGGGAGCCCCACCCCATCTGAACAGCTCAGGTATATCCAGAAACCCACAAGGCCTTCCCTCCCTATTCTCAAGGAGGAACTCGACAAGATCAGTTAGTTCCAATGAATTTGATTCCAATTCTGTGTTCCCAACACACTCTATAAACTCGTCTAACTGATGCCCATGTCCTCATCTGTGAGTGAGAGCCTCAACCCTGGAGGCCCCGGTGAGTGCTGAGTGAGAAACACCTGCCATCTCCCGCCACCAACAGAGACCTCACTGCTCAACTGTGGACCAGAGTCTCCAGAGCCCCGAAGATCGGCCTCAAAAGCTGGAAGTGACATCTGTATCAGGAACATCCTATTTCAATATTATTTGTCTTGAGTTCCTTTAGTGGGGCAAACCAAAAGGAATGTGTTAGAAGGGTGCATTTATAAGGAACATGAGCACACATGAGCCTCCCTCCTCCTGAGGGTCCCCTGGCTTGATTGAATGCACTGTTCAGATGGGCTGTGAATATGCACAGCAGGGATTCTGTCCTTGTCTTCCTGACATCCACTAAGAACAGAGATGCAAACAAAACTCCTAGGTTATAGGGATGGATGGATGGATGGATGGATGGATGGATGGATGGATGGGGACGGATGGACGGGGGCGTGGATCATAGATGAGTAGGTAGGTGGAAAAGTGGGGAAGGAGTGGGTGGGCAGGTAGGTAGATAGATCTGTGAGCGTGTAGATAGATCAATAGGTAATGAATTGATAAGTGGGTGAGTAGATAAATCAATGGATTGATGGCTAGGTTAGCAGGTGAGTATGTGGGACAAAAAGATTGATAGATGGGTGGGTGGATGGATGGATGGATGGATGGATGGATGGATGGATGGATGGATAGATGGATGGGTGGGTGGAATGGCTTGGGATATGGTGGTTGAGGATATGGGTGGATTGTGAAAAGTGGATGAAACGATGGATTTGTGGATGGATCAGTAGATGGATGGATAGATGGACTGACTGGTAGTAGGGTTGGTGGATGGACAATATCAGGGATAACTTGATATATCAGTGTGTCTGTCTGATCACTTGCAATTGGCCCCATTTTCTATTGATCTAAGTATCTCCATCCCCAACACAAGTGTGCACTCCGCGAAGGCTGGGTACTTCTGCCCTCTTACCATCTTGTCTAAAGCACTGAGCTCAGGGTCTGGTACTCCATGACTGCTCAGACAGGAATAGACCAAGGAGTGACAATGAGAAGAGGGAGACTGAATTTCCCCCATTGCAGGAAGTACAGACAGCAGGACACAGCCTGCTGATTGTAGGAGAACTGAAGGTGGAATGTGAAAGCGAGAACTTTAAACTCCAAACTGGTTTTCTTCTGAGGTTCTTAGGTGCTCTCTCTTTTCTCAAGAGCAGCCAGTGGTAGGTGATGAGTTGAGGTCAAACTGATGGGTGAGACTTGGGGAGCCCCAGCATCTCCCTGGAGTGTCTGGTACGGAACTAACTGGCCCTTGGGGGTACCGAGGGAGGACTGTCACATGAACTGTGCCACATGGGAAGCAACACAACCAGCCACGCTTCAGTGCATGAGAAATTTATTGCTTGAAATCAGCTAGCCACGGGTTTCTGGCCATCATTCTTACTCCAAGACTATGGAATCAAATAAAAAGACCCATTCCTCTAAGTGTTCTGCACAGGTGACAATAACATAAAACAGAAGTGAGTGTTACTGACAACAGTGTATCAATGGAAAGCTAAGACCCCATTGCAATTCTAATCTCATTATTGCCTTAGGTGTTAATTATCTAACAAATTCTGGTCTTTCAAAACACCAAAGTAGAGAGCCTGTTAGCATGGCACACACACCCCATCACCCCTTCCCTGCTTTCTTTCTTGTGGTGTAGTGGGTAAATCACCCCTTCCCCTTCATGGGGTTACATGGAAAATGGCCATGGATGTGCTTGGAAAATGGAAGAGCGATGCATACACACCACGCGACTATCACTTAGTAGAAAGCTTCCCATATTGGTCTAGGATGTCTTGAGTCACGGCATAAGTGATAAGGACAGCTGAGTCAGGGTCTTAGTGTGTAGACAATGACACAGTGGAGAATTTATCAGACGGATCCTTCACAGACACTGTCAAATGTCTGTGCAGAGGTGATGTGCCATATAATTGTTGGGGAACAAGAGGCATCACGTGGGCAGCTTGAGTGTCAAAGCTGGGAAGGCTGTGCCAGCAGCTTGGGTGATGGAGAGACTGTGTTCATGCTGGGCTTGAGGGTGAAGGCCACTCCAGCATTCTGCACACATATCCAGCAGACCTGTCACTGCCCTGGTGGGTGTTGCTCTGCCTCTTCAGCCTTTTGGGGGCAGACTGAGGTTGCCATCATCTGAGGGGGAAGGGGCGTTCATCCCCAAGGTCTAACACAGCACTGCCCAGAGTAGAGTCCTGCCAATGACTGATGAATTAATTGCTGGACCTCATTTACAGCGTGCCCTGTGTGGGGAAGGGGGTCACAGGGTCAGCCGACCGGTGGGAAAGGAGAAGTTCAGAGAGGGGCCCTCCACCCTCAGGCTACACAGCCACAGATCCACCAACCATGGGTCAGCATCCTTAAAAAAATGTGTCCCTGAGTCCAGTGAGATGGTTCAATGGGGGAAAGGAACTTGGCACCAAAAGCCTGAAGACAGGAGTTCAATCTCTGGGGCCCACATGGAAGGAGAAAACCAACTCCTGTAGTTGTCCTAAGACCCCCTCTCCTACACACCACTCAAATAAATGAAAACTTTAAGTTGTCTGCTCCAAACATGAACAGACTCTTCTGGCCATCATTAAACAACACAGTGCGGTGACCGTGTGCATTTGCACTGTGTAAGCCATCATAGTTTATCAAGAGGTGGCTTGAAGCCATAGGAAGATGTGTGTGGACTACAGGCAGTCACTGCTCTCTGTGGGAGCAAACTGTACTCCCCCGCAAAGCCCAATTTGACTAACAGGCTGGACATCCTCACACTGGAAGGCCTTCGAGTTTAATGCTGGCCAGAGCCCTGTGGTGACACAGTGGATCCTAGCTGTACTCCCAGGACACGAAGGACAAGACCCGGTGAACACAAGGCCTCTGTGGATGAGGCTGGGAACCATCCCTGGCCAAGATTTCAGTTGGGTACCAGGATCACTGCCTCTGGTTTCCTGAGACCATGATGCAAATGGCAGAACTCTTTGCTGATCTACAAATGGTCCCTGCAGCCTCTCTGATTACTCTCAGCCACTTTTGGGAGGGAGAGGTATAAGTTAGGGATCACGCAGGCCTACCCCTTGCCAAGCCCACTCTGCCATCTCCACAGGTGACGGAAGCAGAGTGTAGCATCAGCCATGCTCGCTCTTACCCGCTCAGCTGGGTCTCCTACTGAGAGAACACCTGGTAGCTGAAGTCATCGGTCTGGATTCTGAGGTTGTATTTCCCCCTCATTCTCTGGAAATGCCAGACCAGAAGGGCTGTAGCCCCTGCCACCACAGTAAGCGCAGCGACTGCAATGATCACGATGTAACCAGTCCCCAGAACGGGCTTTGTACGTGCAGGTTCACCTGTGGGTGAAGACAGGCACAGGGTAAGAGGGTGCCTATGTCGGGGGAAGCATGTGTCTGTGACTGGCACCCGGTCCAGCCACTGTGGAGCTGGGGGGGTGTGGTCCAAAAGATGTGCTCAGACTGGAGGTGGGGACATAGATCTGAGGTGCTCAGTCACCACTTCTGAGCAGCACATTCCGAGTTTGGTCTGAGGCCCCTCAAGGCAAAGCCACACAATGGAGTTCTTTTTGTTTGTGTGATTTTCTTCTTTTGCCTGTTTAGTTGGCTTTTGAGATACAGTCTCACATTGTAGCATGAGCTGGCCTGGAAGTCGATGTGTAGCCTCATTCTCAGCAATCCTTCTGCCTCAGCCTTCTGTGTGGTAGGACTATGGGTATGAGCCCCCACTATGTCCAGTTTATACAATGGAATATTATCAAACCACAGAAGATTCCCATGATGTCACATGCCACCTAGGAGACAGTGTGTAAGGGATCACAAAGGACCGTGGTCAGTGAGACCCATTCATAAGAATCCTCTAGAACAGGCAAATCAGAGATGGAGAGAAGACAGATAGCTCTGAGGCCTAGGGAAGAGGTTGGTGTGGGGTAGCATGAGGGCCTGACTTCAAATTCCCAGAACCCACATAAGGCTACAGACCTGAGATCCTAGTGCTGTGGATATGAAAGCAGGGGAATGAATGGGTTTGGTATGCCCTCATAGCTCCAGGATAAGTGAGCCACTTTGCCTCAAGAAACTAAGGTGGAGAGTGAAGGAACAGGACACTAATGTCCTCCTCTGGGGTAACACACACGTCTCACATTGTAGGATAAAGATCCCAGTCACCAACCAGCCCCTGGCCTATGACCTCCAGTGGCCTGGGCCAATAAGTGTTTTGTGTATCAGTGTGACACACTGTCAAGGGCATCTGCAGCAGAAATCACGGGTGAACCACAACCAGGCTCATCCCCCATCTCCTCCACCTCCAGTATTCCTTAAAGGTCTGGCTAGGAAGTGCCTGGGTAGTCTGCTTAACTCAAATCCCATTTCCCTTCCTCATGTGACTTCTAGGCCCCACAGCGAACACCGTGTTCTCTGACAGGATGTAGCCCAAGGGGCGTTGCTCTCAGCACAGTGGCCCCACAGTGGTCCTGGGTTTCCCTCTTGGTCATCAAGGCAAAAAGCTTCAACCAGACAACCTTGTTAGGGTATGCTGGGGTGGGGCACCATCCCCTAACTAAAACTGTGAAACTTCCCCTGGAGTGTGGGTCCCCATGCCTGGTCAGGCATCTTCCCAGGAACACAGAAAAGCTGACACCAGAATCCAGCCTCCAGGGGCCTCCAGGAAGGGGCTCTTCCCAGCACAGTTGGGAAACCTGCATTGGGGATGCTGAAGCAGAGGCAGGAGACTGGCCCAATTGGCACCATGGACAGACTATGACAATACAGATTGTCAGCCCGTGAGAGCAAGGAGCTCCTGTATCCTGATGCTGCCTATCCAGTCTGGTCTTTATTGCCACTGGCCTTGTCACTAACTCGACATGGCTCAGAGAGGGGCCTGCAGGCCAGGCTGTTCCCTGACTGGGCCCACAGTAGGTATGCCTGACATGGAGAGGAAGCTCTCATAAATGCTTACACAACTGGACACACTGCAGCCTCTGTCTGGTCATGTGAGACTCTGAGCATCACAGTGTGACCTGTGTGGGTCTTGCAGTCAGAGCCTGTCTTCCATGAAGCAGGGAGGAATTTTATAAGTGTGGAGACACTGAGCGTGTATAGAAGACCTAACCATACACTAGAAAGGAAAGGCAACCCGCAAGGCCCCGGCACACACATGACCAACCATACTGGCCTTCCCACCTGACGCATGTGAAGTTCTCCAACAATAGCAGAAGCAAGCCCTCCCTGCACATACACGACCCATATAGATTGGAAGCAAGCCCTCCCTGCCTATCCCTGCACACGCATGACCCATATAGAGAGGAAGCAAGCCCTCCTGATACTTGGAATCCCAGCTGTGGTGGTGTGAAAGAGACTGGCCCCCAAAGGGAGTGGCACTATTGGGAGGTGTGGCCTTGTTGGAGAGGGTGGGCCTTGTTGGAGGAAGTGTGTGACTGTGGGGGTGGGCTATGAGGTCTCTTTTGCTCAAGCCTCACTCAGTGTGACAGACGGTCCTTCCTGTTGCCTGCAAGACGTAGGACTCTCAGCTGCTTCTCCAGCGCTACGTCTGCCTGCACAGCGCCCTGCTCCCTGCCATGACGATAACGGACTGAACCTCTGAAACTGTAAGCCACCCCAATTGAATGTTTTCCTTATAGGAGTTGCCGTGGTCATGGCATCTCTTCACAGCAATAGAAACCCTGTCTAAGACACCAGCCCAGGAACTCTAGAAGCACCCAGAGGCCTTGGTCTCTGTCCCGAACATTCGCTCATCCCCTAGTCATCTCATACCAACCACATCTTTGTCCAGGAATGCAAAATAAGCAGCTTGAATAGTTGACTAGTGAGGCAGTGGCCATGATAGATTCCCAAACTGGGTTAAAAGCAGGCAGCACATATCCAGGATGAAGGCTGCGTCCCCTATGATCATCAACACGTGAAAATACATGGTGTTTGACCTCTATGTAATGTAGTGTAATCTAAAGTAAAAGATACATTAAAGCCCAAATTCAGGAGCTGCAGGGCTCATCTGGAAACAGGGACACTGTAGGGACACTAGTGGTGAGGCCACAGAGGAGGGGCTGGGCCCTCACACAGAAGCCTCCATGAGCCATGGTCTGTCTGAAGTAGGAAATGATATCCCGTTTCACAGCGGAAAAATGAGGAATGAGAAGTAGTGTGCCCAACATCCTGAAAGTATTATCATCAGCCAGATTTTAAATCTAGGGACCCTCACAAATTAGGGTCTCTCAAAGGACCTGTATTTCTCACGAGATACAACTGTGGGAGGTAGATTATGACTACAATCTTACAAAGGAAAGCCAGAGTCCCTGGCACACAGTGGATGGAGGAAGAGAGGGATGTCTGCCTGTCTGTCTGTATACATGTATGGTGAACAGATGGTAGATAATTGATGGCTAGATAATTAGTGGGTAAATAGATACATGAATGAATGGGCGTATTAGTGAAGACTAAATGTGTGCATGGTGCATATAGATGAACACATTGATGAATGGTAAATAGACGGTGGCTGGATGGATCAATGGAAGATAGATGATGAACAGAGTGCATGGATGGATAGATGGTCACAGATAGAGTCAATAATATTACAAAGACCACACAGCTATGATCAAACTCAGGTCTGCTAACTCCAAGTTCAGTGCTTCTCACAGTCTATTGACATTTCCCCCTGACATCTATGAATGAATGGAGATGTTCCACTCCTACTAATGAGAGCACATGATACACATATATTTTCTTCTTGGGGCCTCTGGTTGACCAGTTATCTACAGCAATTTAAGAGGATAACGAGCGGAGAAAAGGCATACAGTTCTAGAACCCGAGGACCCCCCCCCACCTGGGTGTCAGAACACAAGTCATCAATCATTTGTGTAGACTCCGCCTGGGTCTCAGAACCTAGGTCAGCAATCATTTGTGAGCGCCCACCAGAGTCTAGAACTATCTGAGTTAGTGGGCTAGAGGATGTGCCCTGGCAAGTGTGCCTAAGGCTTTGTTTTCCCAAAGCTTGGATGAAAAGCGACAGTTGAGACACACCAGCCAGGAGCTGCCTGCTGATTCCCTTGCTCTTACCTGAAACCCAGATTCCACCCTGAGCCCGAATCCCAGGAGCTCTATGCAGGAAAGTACAGAGAAGCCCAAGACCATCAAGGTTAGGAGGGGAAACTAATAAGAGGAAAACCAGCCAGGATTAGGCTGGGCGATGAGAAAACCTTAAAGGCCTTTCTGGCATAATGGTGAGATGTCAAAAAGGACAAGGAGGAAGGAAGTAGCCAGGGGTGGCCCTGGATGGCCCTTGAGGAATGTCCCCTTGAGTTGTCAGTGCTTTCTTTCCCCTCTCACTGACCAGAGCTGACCTCCCCAGCCACACTCGGCTGCCAAGGAGGTTGGGAGCTGTGGTTTTTACTACAGGCGGCCATGTGTCTGCTAAAGCCCGAACATTCTCACACTGGAGAGAAGACACAGAATTAGAGGCATCTAGAAACTCCTGTCTTAGTCCCTAAAGCATGCAAATTCCCTAATTGTTTCCAAATAATTAGATCATGTGGAGGGCAAAACAAGTTTGGAAAATTGACCCTGAAAAATACATGAATATAATCATCTGGTAGGCATTTATGCTCAGGGGGCACTGAAGTGTCTTTCTTGCTCATCTAAATTAAACAGCTTTTCATGTGGTTGTGCAATTATACTTTTGTGCACACATGAATATACACATGTGTGTGAACACACGCACATGTGTGTACACACACACATGCATGCACATGCACGCACACACACTGCAGCTGACTATTCACAGCTTGGTCCTTCCTCTTTGTATCCACTTGACATCCATTCAGGGTCAAAGACCTTTTCAGCTTCCTAGGACTCATGTCACAGCATCCCACAAACTCGATGCTCCCCGCCACAGTACAGCCATAGAAGTAGATCCTACTGCTCAGGGTGGCCAAGAGGAATAAATCCTGTCCAATATATGAAGATCTTAACCCCATGAAAGCACACCAGAGTCTTGAGGAATATTTTAGCCACTGTTGTGGGTCCTTTAGAAAAATCTTTAAAGCCCCGTGTTTCAAACAGGCACTTTACACCCTGGACAGATGGGATCGTTTCTTTGCCTTTGAAACCCAGAGGACTCACCTTCGGACCGATGGAGGGGTCCCCAGGACATCTGGTGCTCAGCCTCACTGCTTCTCAGCAACCGGAAGTCGTTGCAGCTCTGTTTTTGATAAGAGAAACTTAACAGTTGTCCTATAGGGCTAACAGGGCATGAATTCACTGTCTAGAGCATTTCTCATCTGACCCTGAAAACTTGGTCTTCTAGAACAGGGTGTTGAGCCACTGGGTGGTTAAGTCTAGATGGGGATGTGGGAGCAGGGTAGCAGTAGCCTTAGTAGTGGACTCTGGTGGGATACCACCTGTCTTCATCCACGGGTAACTTTGGACGATTCATTCTCTTTACATGTCCTGGGTCACGGTCTAGTGAGGGAAGCCAAGAACGAAAGCAGAAGCAGAACAGGGACCATGGAGGACAGCTGCCTAGACTTGCTCCCCATGGCTTGCTCAGCCTGCTTTCTTATACAATCCAGACCGCATGCCCAGGGGTGGCACCGCCCCCAGTGGGCTGGGCCCTCCCACATCAACCATCAATCAAGCAAAAGACCTACAAGCCATCTGACGGAGGCATCTCCCTCTTCTAAATAACTCTAGCCTTTGTCAGGTTGACAGACACAAACCAGAGCACCACCCAAGGCACGAGAGGCGTGGAGCAGGGTACACATGGAGAAAAGACGGAGAACAAGAGCTCTAACCCTTCCCTAGGACCGTGCCTCAACCACACAGCCCAGAGTTACTTTTGTGTTCTCCAAGGGTTCAAGCAGGCCTTCACTCCTCCGGATACCTTTGCCCTTCAAAATCACTGCCTGGCTCAGTGGTATGATGCCATCTGCTCCCTGTATACCCGATATCCACCATGGTCTTCCAAGAAAATGCTGGCATCCTGACCCCAGTCTTCTAACTCGATGGCCTTTGTTAGCATCCAGGCATACCTGGCCGGCCCCTGGAGACCTGGCGGACTGTCTCCTCCATGTGCGTGCCTTGTCAATACTCAGACAGTACTCTGAACTGCTCAGAGTTCTGACAATGTCTGCGGCTACAAGGCTACAGCTACACCTCCTTTCAAAGGCAGAACCCTGCCCATCCTGTCCTACCTCCTCCTCCTCCTCCTCCCTCTCTCCCTCCCTCCCTCCCTCCCTCCTCCCTCCCTCCCTCTCTCTCTCTCTCTCTCTCTCTCTCTCTCCCTCTCCCCCTCATGAGGCTGCTCTGCGCTCTCTTCCCCCTCCCCCAAATGAACACTGCACATGAGCTGTGTCTGCATGGCGGTCTGTCTCTCAACCACTGTGGTTTGAACCCAACCCGCCAAGATCCCTCACACACTGAATCCTAACAGTCTATATTAGCAAGATTTTCTATTGCTGTGATGAAATCCTGTGACCAAAAGCAACTTGAGGAGGAAAGGGGTTGTTTGGCTCAGATGTCCAGAGTCACAGTCCACTGAGGGAGGTCAAAGCAGGAACTTAAACAGAATAGGACCTGGGGACAGGAGCTGATGCAGAGGCCATGGAGGAGTGCTGCTTTCTGGCTTGCTCAGCCTGCTTTCTTATGGAACCCAGGACCACCAGCCCAGGGACAGCACTACCCACAATAGGCTGGGTCCTCCCCCACCAATGCCCTATGGGCTTTCCTACAGCCCGATCCCTCAGAGGTATTTTCTCAACTGAGTTTCCTTCCTCTCAAATTATTCTACCCGGTGTCAAGTTTACACAAAACTAACCAGCTGACCTTGTTTGGAAAGATGATCAAGTAGAGATGAAAATGAAGAGGGTGTGGACACACAGACAGACTTGAGGGAAAGTACTTCTGTGAGTCAGGGAATGGCAGGTCCACAAGAACCTGGGAAAGGCCACGGCAGAGTCCCCTGCACAGGTCAGGACTCAGCCTGCCAACACTGTGGGTTCCCGACTCACTCAGCAGCGCGTTTCTAACATCTTAATGGCCCACTCATACCTTGTCTGGCATCCCCGGGAACTAATGGAAAGCCCACTACAAAGGAACTCAAGGTGGGTGTGGGGGTTAGGTTACAAAGACCTGAGAAGCAGCGGCCCCTGCAGAGGGGATGTTGCTGTAACAGCTAGCCTTATGCTTCTGAGGAGTCTATGGCTCCAGGCATCCACCTGGGAATGCCCCTCAGTGAGTGCTATGGGGAGTCACCTGTTATACAGGAAGACCTACTATGTGAGAAAATGACTGAGTTATCTGGCACTGTGTCTCTTATCCACACTCTGCTAATAGCCAAAGGCTTGTTACTTGGAATATTCCAGAGTCAGTGTCCCCCTCAGAGATGGGTACAATAGAAAGCATTGTCTCCCAAGGGAGGAACACACTTAGTTCTGGGTGAATGAGAATGCACATTATCCATAAGCTCCATGGAAATGCTGAGCACAAGGGAAGAGAAAGCTACGAGAGATGCTGAGAGCTGATGGCGTTCTATTCATTGCTGTTAATAATGATGCTAATATCATTGCTAATATGAGTTAAATTAAGGTGATCTTTTTTATATCTAGCTTCAATGTCATCTCAGGGGAATACTGCCACAGCTGATTGGGGTGGGATAACGTGACTGCTTAATTTTGTTGTCAACTTAGCACACCCGGGAAGAGAGAACTGCAACTGAAGATTTGCCTTGATTGGGGTGGCCTGTGGGAACATCTGTTGGACAGTGTCTTCATTACTATTTGACTTAGGAAGACCCAGCCCACTCTGGGCGGTGCCATGCCTAGGTCTGAAGCAAGCCTCTTCCATCATTGTTTCAAGCTCCTGAGCTGGCTTCTCATGACCATGGCTATATAACCCATAAGCTAAAATAAATCTTTTCCTCCCCAAGCTGCCATTGGTTATAGATTTTTATCACAGCAATAGAAAGCAAACTAGAACACCAAACTCAGGTGTAGCTGCAAGAGGTCTGAAGAGAAGGAGACAAGAGAGGGTAATGGTGTGTGTTGTGTGTACATATGTATGTGTGTGGTATGTGTGTATTTGTATATATGTATGTGTGTTTATATATGTGTGTGTATGTGTATGTGGTGTGTGTGTGTGTGTATGTGAAACAAGCAGAACATCGGGCTATGGGAGGAAGGAGGAAGGAGGAAGGAGGAAGGAGGAAGGAGGAAGGAGGAAGGAGAGATAGGGTAAATTAGAGTAACGTATAACTATGAATACATATGAAAATGTCACAGTGAAACTCAATTCTAACCAAAACATTAACAACAAAAACCCTGGAGAACATGTTCGGCCTGAGTCAACATCCCCAGATGTGCCACCCCTGTCCTGCATGAGCTCTTGCTCTATGCTGCACACGTCTGAGCCTTGTTCCCACATTCTCCTGCACAGAGCAGCCCCTCTACCACGCAGGAAAGTACCAGCCCCTCTACCACACAGGAGAGTACAGGCCCCTGGTCCCGACCCCAGGAGCAGAGGAAGGAGCCAGCGCTTACGATTCTGCACGTGTTCCTGGGGTTCTCCAGGCACACCCGCAGCTTGCAGTGCAGGTAGACGATGGAGTTGTTGACAAAGGAGAAGATTCGAAGCTTGAACTGGGCCTTGCTGGAGTTGCCGTTCTGGATCACACTGGTGTAGGTGTTGGGAACCGGGCAGCTGAGGGAGGTAATGTGGCGCCTTAGGCGGGCTGCTCCCCTGGCTGCTTCCCAGGCAGGATTCTTGTGACCCTCCACCCCTCACAGGTCCCCTGCAGTCCCCATGGAAGTCTCAGGAGCTGCTGCCTCACCTAGCCCCAAACCCAGGCCACAGCAGCATTTACCTGGAAACTCCAAGGGGGTTCAAAGTAGGCAACGGGGCTGGGCAAGTTGATATGGCCTCTACCTGTTGTTGATGAAGCCAAAGGTGACGGGGTCCCTGGCGTTGCTGGAGGGCGTGGCCCAGCACTCAGTGAGCACCACCTTAAGGCTGCTCTTCTGCCTGTGGAGGCCCACTTCAATTTTGATCTCATCACTGGCGGACACGCTGTAATTCTGAGGTATGGGAGAGTCTCCGATGAACAACTGCATTTCGGTGACAAAGTTCCCGGTGCCGTGGAGGTCTTCGATAATGGTGTAGACCCTGTGTGTGTGTGGGGGGGGGAGCAGATCTGAAGCTTGCTTTATGGAGTCCTTCCTTCCAGTTCCTCCCCACACAAAGTGATTCTGGGGAGGCACAGGAGCGAAGGAGGAGCCCGGATGAGGAGAGGCAACGCATGCGCAGCTGGCTGCAAGCAAGAAGCCGGACTCCTCTCTGTGTCGGCAGCAGCCCTGGCGAGCGGGTGGCCATAGTGGAGGCTGCGGTCTGAGGAGCTGTCCTGCCTAGCTGATGGACCACGGGGAAGGAATTTGGTCCTTTCTAGTTAACTCTTCGAAGGACGGGGGTGGGGGGAGCTGGCAGTTAGCACAAGTCCGGTCTGCTTGTGCAGGCAGACTCAAGAGAGCCCTGGGAGGACTGGGACACCCTGGAGAGCCTTCAGGTGAAGTTGCTAGAGGGAGCCCAAGCTGTGTAGAGGCAAGGCAGCCTCCCACTCACCCCCACTGTGGGGTGTAGCCTGAGGAGGTCAGGAGGTCATTGCGGAAGGCGCAGTGGATGGGACTGAGGATCTGCAGGTGGTGGATGACACCCTCTGGGGACAGGTCGTTCTTCAGCGTGGTCGTCACCACCGTGCTGGTCATGTTCTGAGCATAAACACACGGATGTAAGTGACCTCCAGGGCCTCAGTGTGTCCCAGCCCCAACTGCGGCTATATTCCAGGTACTGGAGGGTTATCCTCACAAGTGTGAAGATCCTGCCTCCAGCCAACCCCAGGCCCTTTGCACCAGGAGAATTCTGCAACGTGGGGCTTGCATCTACTTCACAATTCCAGTGTACCAACCGTGACAACGTGGGCCTGTCTGACTTCCTCTTCCGGGCCCTCTCATTTAGAAGTCAGAGGCCCAAGAGTGAAGACCCTGACTGGTTGCCTTTCCAGGTGCAAACCCTCCCCACACTGAGGTACCTCCAGGCGGCTCGCAGCCATGCGCACTCACGCTCTGCACGAGGGTCCCGCACTCGGCCCAGCCGGCCACCAGGAACACATGTGTGCCGTTGCTCCTGCTCACGTTACAGGAGGGCTCCCCCAGGTACAGGGAGGCCTCCGGTATGGCCTCCTGCTGCAGAAACTGCTTCTGGATGGTGATGACCACTGTCTCAATCTCACAGGACACCCCAACGGCGTCTGTCAGGGTCAGCCGCAGGGGCAGGTCCTGGGGCACGGAGCTGGCATCTGGCACGGGGGCACCTCTAGTTCCTACTGGGGTAGGAAGCCATTCTGGGCCTGGGGTCTGCACTATGTTGCTGGAAGGGCCGCCTGCAGATCCCAAGGAGACAAAGGCTCAGGGTGAGTTTGTTTGTGGCTAGAGGCACAGGGTGGACCTCCGAGGCCCACACTGTGTATAGAGCAGCCACACCCAGGAGCTGGCTGCTCCCGCCACGGTGTCCCCACACTGCACAGACCAGGCTGCTGGGCTTCCACGGGTCCTCAGGTACCATGGATGTGCTCAGCATGAACGGGCAAGTAACCTGTCCCCAAGGACCTGAGGTGGAGTCCTAAGTTGTCCTCTCAGGAGCCTGGGCCCCTTGCTCCTGCCTCGGCTAAGCTCACAGCTTTGCAATGTCCAGTGATCTCTGGGAAGATCGCCCATGTAAACGTCACCCATGTTCCTGGGCAGCGTGCTCCCCTCGGCCGCCCATTTCTGTAGGCTCCCCAGTTTCAGCCAGTCTGTATTGCGTGACTGGGCCCACACTGCGGGGTGCTGACTTAGTTGGCCCTGATGGCCAGCTCTAACATAACCTGACTTCTTCTGTGTTCTATTTCCCACAGGTGGAGGAGGTCCCCTGCCCCAGACACTATTCCCTCACATAGGTGGCTGTCTCCCTCCACTGGACATAATGAAAGAAGAGGGTGAGCCAGGCATACACGCCTACCCTACATGAACATGTGCACCCATGTGTGCACGCGCGCGCACACACACACACAGGTGCATATGCATGCGAGCACACGCATGCGCACATATAGAAAACCTGCCTTGTCATAAACAACGTGCTGACTTCATTTGGACAAAGGTCTCTTCCTTAGGAATGAGTGTCCTTAAGAAAGAAGATGATGAGGCAGCGTTCCAGAAAGGGCTGTAGAGCTTACCGTCACAGGATCTTCCAGAATATTCCACATGCGAGCCAGGTCCTCCCCCATCACAGATGCACGTGAAAGACCCGAAGGTGTTTCTGCACGTTCCAGGTTCACAGTCATCCTCCCGCATTTCACACTCATTGTAATCTGAAAAGCATGGAGAGCAGGACAGGGACCATGACAGGGCTACGAGCAGCTGGGGACGGCAGTGCCGCCTGCATGCACACACAGTCCTTCTGGGAGAGCACATCGCAGGAGGCAGGGTGGAAACACATCCAGAGAGCAGGCCGCACGAATGTGGCAAGCTCAGGACAGTCCAGGAGGCTCTTCGGTGTGCGTGGGAGTGGGGAGCCAGGGCCAATCTGGAAGAATACAGCCGAAACAGGAAAGGGGTTCCTGCAGAGCTGCACCCCTACAGCCAACTGCTATAGCCGGGGTATGCACAGACCAGGAGATCTGAGCCCAGTGGGCCCTGCCACGCCCCCTCCTCTGCACCTTCCATCTTTCTGCCTATTTGGTCTGTCGGCCCCACAGGACAGGGATAGGAACCAATACACAGAGCAAGGAGCACAGACCACGGGGCTGCACAGCCAGTCTTTACACAGCAGGTATCAGGGCCGAGGCTATGGCTCAGTGGTAGCACACCTACCTAGCATGCACACACACGTAAGCACACACATACACACGTGTGCCTGCTCAGCACATACACAAGCATGTATACATACTCACACATTGTAACTCGGCACATCGCTTTCTAGCATCTTCCGTCTCAGTAAGCCCCATTCATGGGTGACAACAGGCCACGGTGGGGACAGAACTTGGCATACTTTTTACTACAGACCATTGGCAATTTTCAATTACTTTGCTTTTGAAGGTGCTCTGATGACTGCTACCTTTGCATTAACTATTGTCTGACTGTGGTCCCTTCCCCCTGGGACAAAGTCCCAGAGTCAACTGCCAAGCCAAAGAGGAAGAGGTGCTGAGGACTGCTGACAACTCATCATTGCCTTGGCTCCCAAAAAGGGTGAGAAAATTCTACCCACCAGCTCGCTCCTCGGACTCCACAGTCCCTGCCCACCATGCTTTGCCAAGGTCCACAATAGTATCAGAGAGAATCTGGGCGTTGCTTTGCTTTTAACTTGTTTTTTATTTATAAAATTTTTTCCTTTTGCAAAAACAAAGGGAGTCACATCCCTGGGGATTGTCAGTGACTTATACTTCTTTTGGGTTTTGTCTGCTATCACCCTTTGCACGCTGACCTATCAGGCTTGGTATTTATCAGCTCTGTGTGAACTTGCTCTGTACACAGGCTGTTAATTCTTCACTAGTTCATTAGGAGTTTTCTTTTATCATTTCTAAAAGAGCGACTTTATTCTACTTGACAGGAGGGTTGATCTTTTTAGGTAATTCACATCTTACAGTCCTTACCTCAGAAACCCTGACTTGGCTTGGGGAATTCTTCTCACTCTTCAAATTAAAAAGGACACTCAACTTTAAAGTCTGCATTTTTTTTTAAAAAAAGGAAAAGCATAAAACTATCTAGGGCCAGACATGTCGGCTCACGTCTTTAATCCCAGAACTTTGGAGACAGAGGCAGGCAGATCTCTGTGAATGTGAGGCCAGCCTGGTCTACACAGTGAGCCAAGGTTATACATTGAGACACTGACTAAATAAAATAAAATAAAAAATCTGTTCACAAGCCATGTGTCATTATCTGTAACTCCAGGTAGGCAAGAGTCCAAGTTGCCGCCTTCTCCCTGCTTTCTTCACTGGTACTTTTGCTAGGGGTCTCCATGGAAACTTCCTGGACAGTCTGGCTGCCCAGAAGGACCCATCGGTTCTCAGCCCATCAAAGCACAGGTGACAGGGGAGGGAGGGACATCCCTGAGTCTTTTGAAGGTTCAGCCCTTCAATTTTTAACAGCAATCATGGTGGCAATAAGAAGACAAGGAAGCCCCCCCCCGTCCACTCCACACTTCAGACAGCTCCTGGAAAACCCCACGAGGAGCCCAGGGCACATCTTCCTGACCCAAAGCCACAGCTGACTTCGTGCTGTCTCTGCTTCCAGAACTGGGGCAGATTGGTCCAGCCCCCGCGTACCTTGTATAAAGGTTTTTCCCTTGACCACCTCCAGCAACGATGTGTTCTGTAGGGCCGTGAGGAAGGCGGCAGACACCTCCCTGACATCCAGGTCTGCCATTATTAGCAAATTAAACTCCACCACGACGCTGCCGTTTGTGACATTGATGACGTCCATCCGGATCCTGCCTGCGTCCATATGCTGACACATCGTGGCTGGCATGGAGTCCCGTACCTTTGAGAAACAGGCTGCGTGAGGAGAGCTGCCTGCTGAGGTCACAGGCCATTTGTCCTGGTACTCTGCCTGGCAGCGAGAGAAGCTTGTGGCAAGAAGGTCCAAGCCCCAGAGTAGTTCTTGACCCTTTAAGCCCAGGACAAATAAATGCCTGCAGGCATTAATGATGCTCAGAGGACCCCCCTCCCCATGCAGCAGACAGCTGCAGAGAGCTGTCTTTCGGTTGAACAGGGAAAGGGCTAGCAGAACCCCACCCTCATGGGTCTATAACACAAAAGCCCCCAATGGCAGTTAATAGTTGGCTGCTCTTACATCAGGGGTAGGGGCAGCAGGGGCTGAGTGAGTGATCACCCACAACTGTCTGTTTTTCTAGAATGTTCCTTTGCCTCTAATACTTCAGAACAGTCCCCCTCCCTACATCCTCTCCACCTATTCACAGGCCACTTCTAAATGAGCTTCTCCAGGAGCCCTAACAGGACACACATTTCCTGCCTCTGAAGGGCTTGCTCTTGTCCTCTGTCCTTTGGAGCAGAGTCACGCATCACAGACTACATCATTCTGAGCCAGACCAATGTAGTTAAAGACACAGTTTCATATAGTGAGTATCACCGGTCCATGTGATTCAAATTACCCCTGGGAAGGGCATCTCCAGGGACTGCCAGAGAAACCCATGAGGGGTGGGCATTACCCAAAGGCATGAGCTCCTGGCCCCACTTTCCCTCCTCTAGGCCACCCAAGGCAGAGAGATCCATCACCCTCCATCACAGGCTGAGTACCACCAACCCCACCCCCAGTGCCATTTGGGGGGCTCAGTCAGACGGCTGCTGTGCTTGTCTTACAGACTCCTGCTTCTCACCCCTCATCCCATCCCAATTTCCTTAGGCAGCTCTGCCGTTGTGTTGGGCTAATGTCACCATTTCAAAGTGTTCTCCAGGCAAAGCTCCTGCTAGGAAACAATGAGCCATTAGCCCGCCACCCCCAAAACTGGCCTGGCTATCCCACCTGTGCAAATGGCTACACAACTATTTTCTATCCGGAGACACTAGGCAAATAAAGCAACTATATCCAAATATGGGCCAAGGAGGAAATAGTTTTAAGAGGGCAGACTGATCTAGAAGCTTGGGGTGGAGCTTCTGTAATTGGACACCAGAGTGGGGAAGGGGCGCAACATCTGTTGCTTGATGTTACATAAAACCATCATTTACTAAGGACTCTGGGCCAGGCCCTGGAAGAGTTGGGAATTCCAGAATACAGAAGGCAGGGTTTCAGATCCGATGGAGCGAGAGTGGTCCGCCATTATGGAGAGTCCATGGACCTGTCCATGGTCCTGAGGCTGCATGGTCCGCTCTAATGGAGAGTAGCATCCATTGGCTTCAGGACATGCCGGTCTATTATCACAATTACCACTAGGTGGCACTGTCCAACCCTTAACTCTGACTTAAGTTTGAAATTTCTACAAGGTAAATAAGATCATTAGATTATGGTAAGAGCATTCTCTATCTTTAAAAAGTGATGTAACCTAGGGCTGGGGCTTTAGCTCAGTGGGTAGAGTGTTGCCTAGCATATGTGAAGCTCTGGGTTCCATCCCCAATACCACATAAACCAGGCCTGGAGGTGCACGCCTGGATCCCAGCCCTCAGGAGGTAGAAGCAGGAGGACCATTGTCCTCAGCTGCATAGAGAGTTCAAGGCCAACCTGGGACACATGAGACCGTCTGAGTAATAATAGTTAATATCATAGCACCAAAACATGCTGAGATTGCTACCTGTACTATGTGGTACCAATATACATTCCCAAAGACAGCAGGAGGGGCGGCAGGGAAGACACACACAGTTCCAGAGCAGCTTTGTTCTGAACAAAGAGCAGAAGGACCATGGCTACCCAGCAATGAGTGAATGGACGATGGCGCTATGGAGCAGTATTCACCCATCAAAGAAGTGGGGTGCAGACGCACATGGACCTGGGACACATTAACTAAGTGACAGAAACAACACGTCACTTAATCTCGTCCACGTTCATGAGCATCCAGCTGGCGGGCCCAAAAAAGCAACGTAGTGATCCGGGGGCTGGGGGAAGCAGCAGAGCGAGAATAACTTGGAACGGGTACAGAGTTTCCACACGGAGGGTAATTTAAACATTCTGGAACTAGATGGTGGTGGTACCTGCAGATTTTTTTTTGCAAGCAGTATAAATCACTGGGTTTTACACTTACATTTTTCATGGTATTTGAAATGGAGATCAATTTTTAAAATAGTCACGTGTGAGTGTGTGTGTGTGTGTGTGTATGTGTGTGTGTGTGTTTTCGGTGCACACATATTACAGGGGACTGAACCTAGGGCCTGGTGCATTCTAGGTAAACAATGCAACACCCTTAGCTTTCTACTTTTTAAATTTTGAAGCAAGGTCTCACTAAGTCATCTAGGCTGGTCTTGAGCTCCCCCTGTAGCCCGTACAAGCTTTGTACTTGCAATCCCCCTGCCTCAGCTTCCTGAGTTGCCAGGATCATAAGCCTACATCACCAAAGTCCTGCTTAAGCACTTTGATAAATATAGATAGAGCTTTCTGCTCCACAGGGAGTATGAAGGAAGAGGAAGCAAGGTGCATGGGGAAAGGTTTGGCTTCTGCCTCCAGGCAGGCAGGCCTCTGTCACACAGTTCAGGACGCTCAAACCTGCTGGAGTCTGGCTCAGTTTCCTTCGGAAACAGGAGTTCACAAGACCCAGGAGTCTTATTCCTAGTTGGAAGCATAGCATCCCCCTGCCCCGCATCCTCCCCCCCACCCCAGCCAGGAAGTGGGACTGACTGTCCCAACTCACCGCCCTGAAGAACAACTGTACAAAGTCTCGGTGCTCGCTGCTGCTGGCATTTTGGAGGGATTCTGAATACCGGATGTTTGCTATCCTGACTTCACCAGCAAGTTTCTGGGCCACTGCGGGACGTAGCATGCATTAGGTCACAGACTGTCATTTCAGTGTCCCTGTGGACCGCACGCGTAGCAAGGCTGACCTGGCTTCAAAGCAGGACTAGCGACTGCTGCCCACAGACATGAACCACCAGGCTCCAGAGGATGGGAGGCAGCTCGCAGCAGGCCTCCCCTCAAGGCTCCTCTGCAAGTCATGCAGCTGCCTAGCAAGCCAGGCCAGTTTGAGAGGGAACAGGCACCAAGAGACCATCAGGGCAACAATGTAAACCGGCTGTACCTGGACATCACAGCCTCTGCTCCGAACCCATACCTCATCAAGGACCTCCTTCCCTACCCCACGGAACTCTGTGGCCTAAGGGGAGGTCCTACTGTAGCCTGTCCTCTGTGAGTCTCTGCCCTCTGGGGCTTCTAGGAGCATGCAGAACATGAGCATGGTCTGGAATATTCCCCAGTCATGTCCTGGCTTCTGATATAGCTCTTCCTAGATGTATGCAACATGCCTGGGGCATCAGATGAGAACAGCGTTCTTACCCTGATGACTTCAGGCCCATCTCCCAAGAGAATCTCAGTCAGTCCTAAGACAAACCATAATGCCATCCCACTATACATTCCCAATGAGCCTCGAACTTCACGTCCTTGAGGGACATTGCTGTCATTGTACCCAAAGGCCAGAACCGTGGTCAGTGGCACATGTAACCTGATGTAAGGTGCATAGAGGCAGGACAGGAGCACAGCAGGAGCAAACACAGGGCTCGTCTTAAGGTGCAGAGCCACACATTCATGTACAACCCCTTCCTTCCAGAGTAGGGGAGACTTTCAGGGGTCTTCTGAACTGACTCAGACTCAGGGATTTACACACTGGACCATCCAAACACCACCAAACTCCTTCTCCAGCTGGCCATGAGCTGTTCTTGCTGCACCCAAATAGGTCATCCTAGGCATCGCCCAAGGAATGTACCACCAACCTGGGAGACACCGCCCCCAGTGTGTGGGAAGCTTCCTGAGACGTGAAGGCATCTTAGAGTATCACATACACAGGAAGTCCTGTGCTGGGAAAACAGATGTCAGAAGTAAAGAGGAGAAAAAGGGGGATCTTATCTGATGATGTAACTGGGGAGGGGACTGTGCCATTATTCAATGCTGCCACCATCCCCTCACAAAGTGAGCCTGGTGAGAAGGGTATGGACACCCAGCAGCCCCCAGGCAGGCCTTCCTGTGCTCAACCTTTCGTGCTTGTCTGTTTGCCCCCTTGTGTGTAATTGGTGACACATGTCCCCAGGGATCCTTACCCGTCCGCACTCTCAGCTGTGTTCTGGTACCTTCTTTCCCACACAACTTAGTCACAATCTCTACCAGGTGCAAGGCTCCGGGCTCCAGGCCTGACAATGTCACGTTATTGTCCCGGGTCTCCACAATTACGGCGGGTCCCCGAGGAGGGACCAGAGTGAGGTAGAAGGCAGGGGAGGAGCTGATGTCTGCCGCTGACCACTTCAGGGAGAAGCCGGTACTGGTCACGTTGGAGACGGTGACCTTTCCAATGGGTCCAGGAACTGGGAAGTGGGACATAAATGCCGACATGAAAATCGATCTGAATACTTTGAAGGACAGGCAAAGAGCTTCCCAAAGTCCAATACTCAACAACGGAGGGGAGGTGACGCCAGCCAATGATGCAGACTCTCATGACCCCTCACAGAGACAGTACCCCTGTGTGCAGGACCTTGCAGGGCCTCTAGCTTGGCTTCTTAGCAGAAGCCATGTATCTTAGACAAGAGAAATCGGTTCCTGGGATGTTGTCTTCCAGAGGGTTAGTTCAGACTCAACCCTGGGGGCCTACAAACCACTCCTCCTCTGCTGTTCTGGATGGTTCCTCCACCCTAGCCCTATGCTGGTGTCCCAGGGGCAGTCATCGGCATTGCTGGTTCGAGTCCCTCTGACAGAGAAGCCCCTGGCTCCTGTGTGGGACAATCCTGGCACATGCGGGTTGGCAGGGAGGAAACAGTGGAGGAATTCACCCTTGACAGTGACTCAGTCTGGGGGAAAAAATCCACAGTGGAACCAGATCTGCAGGCTGATTAAACAGGGCTGACAGCCAGACCTCTTTGAGCCCCAGCCCATTTGCTGGTTAGGAAGGCCACTGGTCCCTGTGTGTCCCCAAGAGTTGGTGACAAGCTAAACCCTTTCTGTATGGTATGGGTCAGCTGGGGGTTGCAGTACAGCTGTGAGGTATAGACAGCTGAAGCGCAGGCACACGGACATAGAAGGGTGGAAGGACAGACTTCCTGAGTGCATGACCACTGGAGGTCCAGTGAGGCTGGGGTGAGGGTCAGCAGGAAAGTGGGGGTCCAGGAAGCTGAGATGGGGTGACATCAGCATTGCAGTGCTGCTGGGGATTGTGGGACTATATCCAACCTGCAAGGGATTGCTCCAGATGGGACACAAATCCCTTACGTCTCCTCCCTCCCCGGCCATGTCCTACCCCAACTGCTGAAAGCCAAGAGTCCATAGGAAATAAGGGGAGGAGGGGGAGCTTCCCTCTCTCTAACCAGACACCTGCCATAGAGAACCACACCGTTCTATGCCTGCGTCCAGTCCACATATGTCCGGGATGAAAAAGGACACTACATTTCCAGCAAGCCTGACATCAGGGCTCACACAGCCTAAGGTTTCCACTGGTGTCCCAGTCTCCTGATGACTCACCACAGGCAGGGGGCCCTGGAGCCACAGGGGTTGAGGCCGGTGGCAAGCCTGGGAAGGAGGAAGGTCCAGGGTCTTCATTCTGCCGTCTTGTGGAGTTCGGAGGAGGGGTCTCCCAAAGGGGACTGGGGTGCCACACAACATAGCCCGTGGGTGAAGGAGCCACGAAGGGTGGGTCTGTGGTGAAGGTTTCCTGTGGCTCTCCGGTGGGGTGCAGTGAGACATCTGTGGACTTCTGGGGGGGACTGTGGGTTGGCTCTGGAGCCCTGGGAAAGGAGCTTGCCACCCCGCTGGAATTTCCGTGGCTCGTCCCCAGGCTTGGGTCCATGGTGGACACCTCCGCACCTTGTCCCGTGCCATCTCTATCCTGCCTGGCTGTGCTGCTACTGTCTCTCTTAGATGGAGGCCCTGGGGTCCAGGCTTCGCTTCTTGTTGGGGTGCTCCTCGGGTGCCTGGGACTTGGTGATAAGGTGAGGGTCTCTGGGCCAAAGGATGTTACTCCCAGACTGACAGCTGGGGCTGTGACCTTTGTTGTTACGGACAGTTCACCTCCTGTGGGGGTCACCATGTCACCTGCGGAATATACCCCCTGTCAGATGCCAGATGCAAGGCCATCAGAGTCTCCCCACATCAAGAGCTTTCTCCAGAGAAAGACAATGCATTGCAAAAGATGCCCCCTTGGCAAGCCTGCAGAGATGGCTTAGCAGTGAAGCATTTGCTCTTCCTCCAGGCGAGGACACAAGTTCAGCTCCCAGATCCAACAGGCACCTCACAATGCCCTAAAGCTCCACCTCCAGGGAATCTCACTCCCTCTTTTGGCCTCTGCAGGCAACCGTGCACTGGTGCACACCCACCCACATAGACAAGCATGCGGACTTGCATGTAAACTTAAAAAAAATGCTGGTCATAGTGTGCACTTGTAACCCCAGCCCTGGGGAAACAGAGGCGGAGGATAGCTGGTGCTCAGTATAACCCTATCTGTGAGTTTCAGACCCCAGTGAGAGACCCTGTGGTGGTGCACACACCTTTGATCCTAGCACAAGGCGTATGGTTCCTGAGGAATGACATTCAACATCAACATTCAGCCTCCGCAAGCACATGCACTTACATATGTAAATACCTCCCCCCCCATGAGAGATATAGAGAGACAGAGAGACAAAGAGACAGAGAGAGATAAAGAGAGAGAGAAAGGAAGAGGAAGAGGAAGAGGAAGAGACGGAGGAGAACATTTCCTCTGCCTCAGCATGCTCCCAATGCAGACATGACTAATCGGACAGAGTATCTGATACCTGTAAGGGTAGACATGACTAATCAGACACAGCATCATCGATCTGCAAGTAGCTCAGCCCCCACCCCTGAGGACATTTGAAGACTTCCTTGCATTTGGGGTACTCTGCTTACCAGGACTCTTTCACCCCTTCATATAAAATCTACTCCAGTTACATTTTACAGCTACCGTGGGATGAGGAGCCACAGAACCCACACTGCATTTGCTCTTAGGTACATTTACCATCCCATTAATTTCTACGGAAAAGAAAACAAAAACAAACAAGCAAACCACTACTGTGGCGCTTAGCGCTATGCCTGGCAAAGCTGGCCTCAGAGCACTTCCGGGGACACACACCCTCGCAGACCCGGCCAGCCCGGGAAGGGCTGGCATCCCTGGCCGTGAGGCACTGGCACGTGTAGGAGCCCTCCAGGTTGACGCAGCGGGCATCTGGGTGGCAGTCATGTTCCGAGCTGTGTGCACACTCGTCCCAGTCTGTGAGGAGAGGAGGCAGAGTCAGCGAGAGAAGGGATAGATGGTTAGGGAACCAACCGACGGCAGATGGAAGTCCTCCTGCCCGTCCTTTAGAGAACTGCGGGGGGCACTGACTGGCCTCCTGAGACCCAATTCTGTTAAACACTCTGTGGAAATTCGCTCTCTCTGGCTTGCCCTGCACCAGGGAAGGATAAATTAACACCAGGGCTGATGAAGCAGACCCGCAGATGAGCTGTTGACTGACGGACACTGTAGTGCTGTTCCTGGACCACCAGACACAGGGACCCTGCACTCCCTGTCCTCTGCACACCCGCACCGACCCCTAGTCTCCTTTTGCTCTGTGTGCTGGACCAGTGCCTGCAAAAGATATCATCCAGAGGGAATAGGCCCACTCCAGTGGGAGACTCTGGCCCTGGCCCTCGGTTCTCACTGAGGATTCAGGATATGCTTTATGCTTATTTAGTAGCCTTTCGGGTAAAGGGAAAATTGGCTAAACTGTGACTGCAGGGGTATCTGTGAGCTGGAAGTATGTCCTGCTGCCCGCTGGGAAGAGTCGTACCTTTCACTAACGTCCCCTGCTGGTCAACCTGGAACACGGCGCTTTCAGACAGTCGCTGGAGCATGGGCCTCAGCATGGAGACACCCACTGGAAACTCAGGATCTTGTAGGGTGAGTCTAAGAGTCACTACCAGGCTCCCCGCCTGCAGGGACACGATCTGCAGCCTCAGCTTCCCTCGTCTGTACATGTCAAAAATGACTTGGGGGAAGGAGTTTTCCACCTAACCGGGAGACACACAAGGAGCTCATGCGGTTAGCAGTCATGCTTTCCCAGCCATGGGGTCCACCCTGCTCTCCCTGGAACAGCTAAGGGAAACCCTCAGCATGCATCCACCGGGTGCATATGGACAGTCCACCCGACTGCCCTTGAAGTAAGTGTGTGTGTGTGTGTGTGTGTGTGTGTGTGTGTGTGTGTGTCTCGGGGGTGGTGAAATACTGACTGTCATCTTGACTGACAGACTAACTGACAAGGAGGGGCTAACAATAAACAATACCCATGATTACTCAGGACTGTGCCCTCCTTCATGGGGAGACACCAGCCTCTCCCCCACCTTTCTGCTAACCATTCCATGAGCACTGGGATTAGCTTTTTGGGGGAGTGGGGGAACCAAAAACAACAACAAAAATGCCAAAGTTAAAAAAAAACAGCTCTCTAAGAACCTTCACAAGAGCTCCTCCTGGGGACGAGACAGGAGCATGGAATTCAAGGTCAGCCTGAGATACACAGTGAGTTCTCAGCCAGCTTAGGATACAGGATGAGACCCTGCCTTCCAAAACTAAAATTAAAAAGGGCTGACATCCCCAGAGGCAGACGTCAAGAGCTCACGCCACCACCACCCTTGGTAGTCTGACCGCCCTACAAATAGGAGACCCATGGTCTTTTTGTTCTAGACTCTTTCCAGGGAGGCTGGTGTGCAGAGTAGCTTGGGACCTCAGAAGGATGGGTCTCTCCAGAACAAAAGACAGCCCCTTCTACCATCCCACATAGCAAATGAACGTAACCTCCCCTTTGGAACACAATTTAGGGTCTAAGAGATCTGGGCTCCCTAAGGCAGGGCTTGCTTGTCTCAGGGGTGTTCCCTTCATGAACACAGGGTTTGCGTGGGCATCATGCCGTGTACTTGGGGGGGAAGGGGCAAGATGGGGAACCAGCCTTATATGATTCTCGGGCCACCTTCTGTGCTGTGACAGGCTCTCTATTGCTAACCTCGTGTCTTCTGCCAGCATCTGCAACACTCTATCAAGCTAGTCTATGATTTTCCAAATGGGTAAAATCCAAGACCCTGGGCAGCTGGAGGAATTGGCTTTCTCCCCATCCCAGAACCTATGTTAGATGGCAAACACCGGCTCTGCACCAGGTTTCGTCAGTGCCTCCCACGGGGGGCAACAGATGCTAAGATCGGTGGCAGAGCCTGCGCTCAGGAAGCTACTATGAAGCCACACAGGGTAACAGCACCCCAAGGCAAAGTCTCACACAGCAAGTCCAGCCATGCGATCAAGGCACTTACTTGATGAAGGATTGCTATCCCATGAGGGTCTGTGGTTGGTGGTGTGACCCTCCTCAGACTGTTACAAGACTATGACTTTGCTCAACCACAGGGGGGAGCCAGGTTATTGATGTGTATGTGCATGTGTGTACATACATATGCATGGATATGCATGTATGTGCACATGCGAGCATGTGTATCACATGTGTCTACATGTGTACATGTGCGTGTGCATGCACATGTGTGTATGTACGTGCACATGCGCACGTGAATGCCTATGTACGTATTTGTGTACCCTAGTTCCAAGGTCTTGAGGGCAGGCCAATGGCTTGCTCTCCTGCTACCTCATGAAAGAGCTGTTGAGAAAAGTTCCAGAATTCCTTGCTGTTGCAGTTGAGAAGCTGTTCTGTCAGGTTCCGGTTCATGATCCGTACTGTGACTTGGAAAACCCGGGCATCTGAGACAGAAGTGACACAAATCAGTCAAAACCCTAAGAGGGGAAATCACATGCTGGGGCTAAGGTATACCTGGGTGGTGGAATGCTTCCCTGGCGTACACACAGCCCGTTCAATCACCAGCACCATACACACAAAAACATCAGTCCCGTGCTTTTCTGCCCATGCTTTCCTTAAAGCCTCTCATTTGATTGGTACACGAAATAAACCGAGACATCAGTTTTAAACAGGGACGGGATGCACTCTGTCAGCCATGACAGGGACACTGAGCCACCACACAGGGTCCATACTTGCAGGAGCTGGGTTTCAGGTTGTACATACAGGGTCCCAAGGCCCCTCCAGCTGTCCCTTCCTGGGGTGGGGCAATGTGCTGAGTAGCAGGCCTGGTCAAGTCCTCGCATTCAATCACTACCCAGGCCCCCTATATTACAGTGATTGCTGGTTCCTGTTTGCCAGAACCTTCTAGGTTTCAGAACGGAAAGTCCCACGTCTTTGTGCCTGACGGACTGATAGGGTTGGTCCCCTGCCATGAGGTCACCTCTCCTCTAGACGCCCGGGAAAGTCTCAACATAGAGGCTGGGAGCCTGTCTCTTTTATGAGAGTAAACTCTGTGCACAGGCATGGGGGGCTGCACTGCCACCCACCCATCATGTTCCCTGACTGTTGACAGCAGCCACAGACTAACTCCAAGGTGGTTCCATCAGGGATGGAGAGCCTGGGCCCACAGGCCAGGGTCAACCCAACAGATCACATGTGCGTGTCACACTGAAGTCACTGAAGTGTTGTCAAGGCTGTTATCCCAAGGGAGGCATCCCTCCCAGGAGACACCTGGAACCAACTACACACATGATGTTTGTTCCTCGCTCACTCCTGTGATAAGCCTAAGTCACTGTTAGAAGGAGCAGCTTCTGCAGTACCCCGGCCTGCAGCCACCATCTGTGCTAGGGGAGAGACACACCTGGGACCCGAGGTCTCAGAGCCCCCTCCTCTCCACACCACAGCCTCAGAACTGAGGGAGCCGTCATCGCCATGCCGCGTCTGGTGAGGTCTGTATATTACCATGACCAGGCAGAACCAGGTGAGCCACCTGTAAGGACTGGATGACCACATCAGTTGCCACCCAGTGCCAGAGGTCTAAGCATATGCATGTGTCCTGTAGGTTTGGAAGAATCTGTCCCTACTGGCACCGGTAGGGTGGATGCTATGAGCCACAGGAAGTAGGATGTGTTCCCATTTCATCTAGACACCACTGAGCTGCCCAGCCCTGATGGCAGGAGGCTATTTAGCCAGTCCTGTATGAGTCTGTGTGACTAAATGCCTGTGGTGTACCATCTGTGGGCACATCCTCTATCTGACAACATCCATGTACAGCAGACTACTAGCAGGCAGGTCTCCACGGAGCCTGAGTTGACAAGCTAGGAACCCATGTAAGCTCCACTCAGCATCCAGCCCAGTACGAGCCATTCAGAGAATCAGAGGCCACACACAGCAGGTACAGTCACACCCTACACCGTGCATACCGGGAGGCTCATGTGACATGCTGAGTCCCCAGAACTCTGGGACAGAAAGGTTCACCCAAGGACGTATGGCTTCCAGGCTGGTGCCTTACCTGTCTTGACAACCAGCGCAGCAGAGATGTTGGCCCCGCACCCCTGGTAGCTGACCCTCACTCCATACAGAACTCCAGCCTCCAGCCCAGGCACAGCCAGAGTCCGGCTCTCTGTCCAGGTGCTCCTGAGAAGCTCTCGGCCTTTGTACACCTGAACGTGGAAACTGTGGTTCTGAGAGGAATTCAAGCTCCAGGACACGTGAAAACTGCCGCTGGTAACGTCAAACGCCATGAAGTCTCGGATTGGAGGGCAATCTAGGGAGAAATACACCTAGGCCTCAGATAGGAAGCAGCCCAGCTTCTGTCCCACCCGCTTAGCCATCGAGGAGACCAGCGCGCAGAACGACACTGCCTCATCTTACAATAATTAACTTAGTTCAAAAGCTAAGGTGGAGGGCTAGGAAGATGGCTCGGCAGATAAACTGATTGCCCCCAAAGTGTGGGAACCGAGTTCTCAGAACTCATGTAAATAAATGCCTGGTAGTCACAGCAGCCGCCTGTACCTGTAGTCCCAGCACTTACACGAAGGGGTTGGGGATCACCACCTCTCCCCTGGAACAAGCTGGCCAGCGAGTCTAGACTAATCATGTTGACCCAAGTGAGAGACCCTGCCTCAAAGGATAAAGTGGAAAACAATTGAGGAAGACTCCTAAAGTCAAGCTTGGGCCTCCATGTGTGAATGCACACACATGTATGTGCACATGCGCGCACATATAAATACAAGCACACATATACACATACCATGCATGTACACACACCACACATGCATATAGACACTAAAGAGAATAAGAAGGGTGGGGAAGAGAGAGGGAGTCAGGTGACATCAATGAACCACTAGAACAGACTACAGGGACCATGACACATGGCAGAATGATGTCTATAGTGAAGGTCATTGTACTGTGCTGTGGCCAGGCTGTGCCTGTAAATACAGTCTTAACATGCATTCTCAGGCTACGGCCACGCCAACTGCATGGGCACAAGGATGTCATCCTACTGACCCTCGGCTATTGGTCTGGGAGTCGGGCTGGGTTTCCTTCACAGCTGGTACCCCTGTTCTACCAGACCACAAACCTAGCTGACAGCTAAGAAGATAGAACGGGAGGGACTCGGGTCTTCCTCAAAGTGGGACGCATTCCTGGAATAGAAAGGGCGAATCATGCACGATGTCAGTCAGCTGTTGTCTTGTGTGAGAATCCAGCTGCCCCATGGGCCATCTGTTGGGTGACTAATTTCACAAGAAATGAATCTGAATTTTGTGCTGTATTTTCCAGTAACTTGTGTGACTGAGCCAGTCCAACAGATTGCTCATTTGTATTAGCTTCTAAATTTAAAATACACGTGGTCCTCATAGCAATATGCAGCCAAATTTGGCTGTGACTCTCCGATTTAGAAACACACACACGTGCCCGTTCCACCCTTGGAGAAGTGTGACTACGGACGGGCAGCCTTCCCTGGTCACGTGCCTCATCCGTTCTCAGCCCTCGATGTGACAGGCTACTAGAGGCTTATTGTGCCTCAGAGCAGAGTTCAGTTCAGCTGGCAGCATAACTAACTGCAGAGAGAGCCTAGAATCCTATAAAACCTTTGACCAGAGTCAGTGTATCTGGGTCATAGTCTGCCTTCCCACTGCAGGGACAGATTCTTAGCCTGGAGTCCACAGATCAGAAAATCTCTGGCACATGGGGACACACACCAATGATGGTGTGTGAGGTAGTCATACAATTCTGCAGACCCTCAAGGTCATGTGCTCCCCAGGGAGAGCAGGACTTTGTAGGCAGAACAGGTGGGGAAGACATCTGCTTTCATTCTCAATACCAGGAGACCCTAGAAACAGAGCCTTCAAGGTCCTTATATTACAGAGATGTACAATGTGGCCTTGCTGTGTCTGGCATTTTCTCAAGAGATCCATAACTTATGAGCCCTGGGGCATACTCTACTACCTGCCTGTGACTAGAGTCGAGCGGCATGACCTGCCACCTTCAGGGGAAGAAGGGACATGAAGCTGTTTGGCAGAGCATGTGCACATAAAAATCCATGGGTTTCCTCCACTGAGCAAGGAGATGGTGTTGGGGTCTCGCTCTGGAGCTACAATCTTTCCCCACCTGACACCGGATGCACCTGAGATAAGAATGTCATGCCTGGACTTAAGAGACCTGGGGAGAAACACCAGGAGAGAAGGTGGCCACCAGAGGCCACAGGAAGCCAGGAGATAACACTACATACCCAACCTGGAAAGGGGCTGGGTATGCCCAGAATCCTGTCTGAATATCTCTGGGAAATGACACAGAGCCTCCATTGTGCAGGGGGCAGCAGGGGAACCTGTGTAAGGGGCAGAGTCAGAGCGGCCTTCACACTGGCCGTGAGGTCCACTCTGTTGTTTATGTGTATACACACTGGGGCCATTCTCTGACTCTTAACCCGACCAGGCACTTAGCGTGGTCTGGAGCCAATTGGGGGGTGGTTTCCCTTCTCCAAAGCTGAGTGCCCATCACAGGATTCCATGGGCTTTCCAGGAAAAGAGTCACAAAGTCCAGCCCACAGGATGGCATGAGGTCTCTGTCTAGGTCTCTAATCTGTCCCCACTCAGCGCCAGGATGCACCTGAGACAATGGACCTTCTGGGCAGAGAGGCCAGAACACCTTCGATGACAAGGGGCAGAAGCAGAGGCAGAGGGGAAACGAAACAAGTTAAAGTCAGCAGCTCCAGAGCTGTCAGGGATGGGAGGTGACCACAGCTGAAATGTAAGTGCGGACTTTAAGGATGATAATGAGGAGAGCATCACATTCCAGAGACTGGATAGCATGGAGAAGACACCTTGGCTACAAGGGGACAGTAACAGGGTTATTTTGTATATTAGCATCTCTTATCTCTTAGAGATACACTCTGGTGTGGCTATGATGGATTAAGACCACGAAGGGTCAGTGCTTATTGGAGGCAGGCTGGCCAAGCAGGGGTGGCAGAGTTGTTGATCACACACTGTGTGTGTGCGTGCATGTGTGTGTGTGTGTGTGCGTGCATGCGTGTGTGTGTGTGCGCGTGTGTGTATACGTGTGTGTGCGTGTGTGTGCGTGCATGTGTGTATACGTGTGTGTGTGAGCATGTGTGTGTGTGTTCAAAGCCCCCATAGCCTCGTGGCCCCCACCCCACCTTTGTCTTTATGTCACCCACACCACACAAAACCAGAGATTAACGCAGCTCATTCCTTTGGGCGTGGTATACGCATTCCTTGAGTCCCTCTCTCTCCTCAGCACCTCGCAGAATTAGTAACTGTCCTATTCGTGTGCCACCCACGGCTGCTCACTCTCCAGGGAGCGAGCATCTCAGAGCAGGGCTCTGACCCACTCACGGCATTCCCAATTAACCAGACAGCTGCCATCTCTAAGAGTGACTGCAAGAGTGACCTGCTAGGTGAATAGCCATGGCTTCAGGGACGCGGTAGCCATTCTACACCCGGGAGCAGAGGGAACAGGAGCCAGGTTATGTTTAGACAACACGGCCCTGATGGATCCCCCAGGCCCAGATGCCTAAGGCTGGACATCTGGGGTGGAGAGCATGAAACTTCCTAAAATGGCTGATGAAGATACACAGAAAGGTATGACTACTCCTGGGAGAATGCCACTGTTGCACGATTCTACACAAGTATGGTCCTGAGGTCAGAGCTTGGTGCCTTTACCAGCCTGCCTGTGTGTGTGTGCGCGCGCGCGTGTGTGTGTGTGTGTGTGTGTGTGTGTGTGTGTGTGTGTGTGTGTGTGTGTGTGTAGACCTGAGGACCGTGCACTGGCCTTGTGTGTGCTCGAGTGCCTGCTCCTGTCTTCCTGCCCAGTGGCCAGAGCGTGGATCAATAAAGTATGTCTTATCTGCCCAAATTCTTTTCAACCTCCAGACCTCTTGAGACCCTCCTCTGTTCCAGGCTTTGGAGCCTAGACCCCCTACCCTCAAAGGAGGCTAACAGGAGTAGCTGGGGTCTGTGGACCATCTACCCTAGACATGGCCTTTGTCACTCTCATGCCATCTGAAGACTCCATCATTACCTTCATCTGTGTGGTTCGGCGGCTGGGAAGGCAAGGTGGGCAGCTGCTGGGTGGGGACACACTGGTAGGAGCCCTCCGTGTTCAGACAGTGCTCTCCCCCAGGGCAGGCATGGAGCTCACTGTACAAGCACTCGTTGACATCTGCGGAAATGAGGGGCGGGTGAGGTAACATCCAGCTACTTCCTCATTCTCCACAATGCTCTGGGGCTGGCCCAATTCTCTGTGGTCATAGCATGATGGGCCCAAGAAAAAAAAAACCAAGAGATCTAGAAGTTTCTTGCGCTAAAAAGAATCTGAAACATCACTAACATGTCCAGCTGGCCAGGCCTTCACTCTTGGGTCTGTCACCTTCCCATCCAAGGTCCCAGGATACCTGCCTCTCTTAAAGCCACTTCCCACAATGAAGGGAACCAAGTCAGGTCACCTCATAGCTAGGTTTGTTTAAGCATAAGCAGGAAAGCTCATGGTCACTCACAAAGCACCTACCTCTTCCCCTGAGTGCGTGATTATTAGATATTTGTCTCCATGCATCTTCTGCTTTCTATGCATGTGATTTATGGAGATAACCAATTGCACCATGACCACATGTAGAGACAGCCTCCACTCTGGAACCAAGCCTCGTCAATAAAGACCTCCCTAAAAGCACTCAGAGAAAGCCCACATCTGTAACAGGATCTAACTAAGCATGCTCACTGGCCTCCAGGAGCGGGCCTGTGGCCAGTGGCTGAGGGACACTTTCAGAAGCACAAGATGAGTGCTTTGGTCATGGGCTCCACCCCCAACATGACTGACACCAGGGACAGGGCTGCCCAGGAGCCTAGCCGCACCTGTTCCCAGCGTCAGCAGGAGGAGGTTATCAGTCCCACCCCTTGCTCACACACCAGTGACTGCTACATGCCAGAGGCAGGCCTCCGGAGCAAAGACAGACCATCACGTGTTTTCAAAAACCTTTGCCAATCCCTGACATAGTTTTGTTTTTTTTGTTTGTTTGTTTTTGTTGTTGCTGTTGCTGTTCCTGGCATGGGTATCACAATTTCTTTCTGAAACAAGGTCACATCTAGATTTTGAGTTTTTCATGTGTGGTTTGCAGTATGGTGTACCATGGGCAGGTGATGGGCTTGCTAGGGAAGAGGGAAGAGAGTAGAAGAAACGTGTGTGTGTGTGTGTGTGTGTGTGTGTGTATGGGCGCGCGTGCGTGTGCATGCATGCATGCTGGGGGCAAGAGCTGATAGAGCAAAACAAATTCCCCAAATCCACACATGAGAACTTGAGTTTAAACTTGGTTTGGGCCACAATGAGCAGAAGATGACCAAACCACGTCCATGCTCTGCAGAGCAACACGCCAGAACCAGATCTCCCACATCTGAGCCTAGCCTGCTGTAACAGTGCCTTTAGAATCAGGTCACAGAGTCAACTTGACAGTGTCCCCATGGGGCAGGCCCACCTTGCACCTGGATGCTGATCACTTCGTAGACTCGATTCACCATGTCATCCAACATGGCAGAGACATTGGCCACTGTCAAGAGCTGTGGAAGGCCCAGCAGCAGCCATGACTCCGTGGTGAATGTGTCCCTGCCACCAGTTGAGTTCAGGTAGTGGACAGCTGGGTTCAGAGGCTGCAAGGCACTGGTGACCTGGGAAGTAGAAACAGAGGATCGATGGCAGAAAGGCACCCCGTGTAGGGGGAAGGATTCAGAAACACGAGAAACGCACACAAGTGCACGTGCACACACACACACACACACACACACACACACACATCTCTTTACTGGGGCTGGGGTTGTGACTCAGCTGGCCAAGTGTTTGCCTAGCATGCAGGAAGCCCAGGTTTGATACCCAGCAGCTCATAAACTGGATGCACTGAGATCCAATTATAATTCTAGCACTTGGAGGGTGGAGCCAGGAGAATCAAGTTCAAGGTCATCTTTGGCTACCTAGTGAGTTCAAGGCTAGCCTGGGCTACATGCGATTATCAAAAGAGATGAAGAGGAACAGGGCGGAGGAAGAACAGAGGGAGGAGGGCTGCTACAGTATCTTTCATGTCTGTGGCCTTCACAGAAAAAAAATATCTTTCCTGCCTGTGACCTGCACAGAAAACCAGAATGGCCTCGACTTCTGTAACCCCCACTGCTACTGATAGATCCAGCCCCACCCAAACTCAGGTGTGAAGCCCTGACCTCCAGGCCCAGATGTGGCCTCTGTTAGACACAGGTGTGACTGGCTAAGCTGAGGGTGGACCTTGATGTTGCCCTTGTCAAAAGGTGGAAATCTGAGCTGGGTGTCATGGCACATGCCTCTATGCTACCAGATGGAGGCAGCGATTTCACCAAAACCCTGGAGTCTGAGAGCAGCCAGGATGACATAGTGAGACCCCCCATCTCCATCCGTCAGAAGGAGAAACGTGGACACAGCTGAACACACTCAGATAAAGGACAATGTGAAGAGGTCCAGGGGGCAGATGGCCACACAAGCCAGGTTTGATACCCAGCAGCTCATAGACTGGATGTAGTGAGACACAGCTATAATTCTCGCACTTGGAAGGTGGCCTCCAGAAGGAACACACTGCTGACACCCTGACACAGACTTTCCAGCCCATGGGGCCATAGAGAACCCTTTCTGCTAAGCCATCTATTGTTAGTGACTCTTTGCTGGGGCAGACCCAGGTTGCCTGCAAAGCTGTGGCGTCAGGACCTGAGTCCCCTCCCCTGTAGGAATTACACTTAATGACAGGAGCAGGGGAATCTAGAGTTAAAGAAGCAGACACCAGAAGGGAAGGCCTCCTGTTGTCCTGCCTGATCATTCTTTTTAGACTGACCGCTCTTTTGCTTATCTGTAGGATTCTTGCAGTTTAGCCTGTATCTCAGCATCTCGACCTCGGGGAGAGCAGGCAAGTTGGCACCGCATAACTCTGCCCGGTGTCTCCAAAGCAAGTTTGTAAACAGACCCGCCTCTGTGGGAGCAGAGACCCGGAGCCCTCCCCAGGAGACCAAGTGCAACTAACTCAGGAGGCAAGCCAAGACCCAGCTACCCCCACTGGAACCCTTTAGTTGGGAGCCATGGAGCCAGCACCTGCTGCAGCCAGGAGCCTGCCTGGGCAAGCTGGCTCCCTCAGGAGGAAGGCATGCAGGGCTAGAGAAATAATGGATGCGAGCGACACTGTCTCAGACCTAGCGTGTCAGGGAGTGCGGCAAACAAACACCTTACAGGCTGTGATTGCTAATTCTATCAACCTGATAGGGTCTAGTCACCCAAGAGTCAAGTCTCGCAGTGTGCCTGTGAGCGAGTTTCTCAGCTAGGCTAGCTGAGGTGGGAAGGCCCATCCTGCCACGTACGTGGCATCCTCCCACGGACTGCACCTTCAGACTGTGAGCCCAAAGAAACCCTGAGTTGCTCGGCCAGGCATTCGGTCACAGATAATCATTTAAACCCCAGAAACCACCTCACATGGAATTACGACTATTTGTATTGAATGGATGAGTATCTGCGGCACAGAGAGGTGAAATGGTTTATCCAAGCTCACACAGCAGGTGCCAGGCTGGCGTTTGTACCCCGGTGTCCTGGCTGCAGAGCTGTGTTCCTAGAGGCCAGATGGGCAGCTCCTTAACAAATCAAGAGCAAACAGGGATCCCTCCAGCAGTGGGTATCAGGGAGCTCTGGGCAGAGGTGAGGTTGCAGAAGACGCCTAGGGCAGCATCACTTCCTAGTGTCTAAGGCAAGGCATGCATGCCCGTCTGTTCCGTCTGCCTGGCTGGTAGGTGTAGTAACTAAGGAGGGATCTCATTCTCATTTTTGCACCCATGGGACATTATCTGTGGAGCCCAGGTGAGCAGAGTGGAAATCTCCACCCCTTGCTGGGCTCGTTACACTGTGGTGAGCCAGCAGCGGGGCGGCAACCCCTCTGGGCCCTCCTGTGCACAGGCTCCCGTCACAGCTGTAAGAGCAGGCTGCAACAGCAGGGGGGTAGAATGCTCTGCTATCCTAGTATCCCCAAGTCTAGGACAGTGTTGGCATAGAAAGACATTCTAACAGGAAGCAACTAAGACATGTCTGTAGGTATGACTTCAATGCAGGGGTCTCTCTAAAGAGGGTGGCTTTGACCCCAGGGGACACTGACTGGAGATGCATTTGGTTGTCACACTGGGGGATGCTCCTGGCCCAAATGGAACAGCCCAGAATTCCACAAAGTGAGAATGAGGACTTCAGGGTTTGGGGACTGAAGGGTCAAGGTCACACTGACAAGGACACCCTTTTCATCTTCTCAATCGACTATCTCAAGAAGAAGGCCTCCCCATCCTGTATACCAGGTGTGGCTTCAGATACATATGCCAGAACGCACGGAATCACACCCGTTCCTCTGTGTGTGTCTTTGGCTTTGTTTTTCTGAGACAGAGTCTCAAGCAGCCTAGGCTGACTTTGAACTTGCTACGTGGCTGTGGATGACCTTGAACTCCTGATTTTCCTGTCTGCTTGCCCCATGGGTTGGGGTTACAGGTGAGGTTGATTTACCCTAGTTAAGAATTCAAGTTTGGCTCAGGACACTGTGGGATGTCACCCCATCCTATCTGCCCAGGGAGAAACATGGCTTTCGTGACCAATGCACTCACCAAAGAGTAGAGCAGGCGAGTGTGGTTCCGGAAGCCAGGGTCCTCTCGTTGGAGATCCTCAAAGCCCATCTTCACCAGCACCGTCACATTGTACCAGCTCACCAGGGTTCTCTGTGTACCTGGAGGGCAGAGGCCAGTGAGTTACAATCCCGGGGACAGGGCAGGGTCACAAGAGGCCACAGTGGTCAGCAGGCCTGGAAGGCAGGAGATGAACTTTCCCCATGAAATGCCTGCAGGGAATTTCCTGTTGCTTGCCCTCCTCTTTGCCCTGTTGCTGCAAAGACCACTGGCTCCCACCAGTGGAGAGTCAAAGGCCCTCCCTTGAAGACAGACCCTTGGAACACAGTTGAGCCTACAGCCTTGGTTACAATGTAATATACAATCTGTCCAGTCTGCCACAGTTTCCTTATACTGATAGCAGACAGAATGGTATGTAATATTCTATGTCACACTGTTTATCTTAGATATCCCCTACTGTCTAGGTGAATAGTGTCAGATATGACGACATACTAGACATCTGCTGTCACATGTAGTGCGTGTAGCATTCATATATAGTCTATTCAGCTACCCTCAGTAATGGTGAATGTGGGTTCTGAGACTTCTGGGGGTTATCAAAGTCTACAGATGTTCAAATCCCCTACATAACCGGACAAGCCTGGCTAGGGAGATGTCACAGTGGTTAAGAACCCTGGCTGCTCTTCTAGAGGACCTGGGTTTTGTTTCCAGCACCCACATGGCAGCTTACAACCATCTGTAACTCCAGTACCAGGGGATCCAATGCCCTCTTCTGTCCTTTGCAGGTGCCACACATGCAGGCAAACCACTCATACACATAAAAATGAAATGAATAAAATTTAAAAATACTTAAAGTGGAGCATGTGTTTGCATGTAAGCAAACTTCCTCCCATAATCGTTAACCATCTCTAGATGACTTATATTGCTATATGAACTGTAAATGCCTGTCAGTCTTTGTATATGGATCGTTTAGGGAATGTGATATTTATCAATGTTCTTATAGGTCCAGTACCAACGTGCCCACTTCAGGTCTACTTGTATAGGACACTTTGGTAACAAAACATTTTTCAAACATTTTAAATAATTTGGATACAGAACCCTAGGATATGGAGGGCCAACTACAATTCAGGAGTATAATTGATACATAGAAGAATTATGATATATTAATCCTTGCTATTATATATGCTAATTTTATGACTATATGCTAATAGGACAATATAGCATATGTGGTGTATGTGCGTGTATATGTTTGTTTTCTGTATTTCTTTAGCTATGAACTTTGATCCAACTTTGCCCATAGTTACAGCCTCTGGGCAGATAGAACTTTCCTGAAGAGTGGACACCTGTGCCAGACCACCAGCAGCTGCTCTGGGCCGTGAGACCATGCAGAACAGCCTGGCCTGTGTTTCTTCAGGGGACACAGCTCCAACAAACCCACTAGCCTTGCCCAGCCAGACAAAGGTCCATGGCTCTGCCCACCATGGCTGCCTACCCACTCATTTAACTCTCTGGAGGCTCTAGGGACCAGCCATGGGGACAGCGGAGCCCTGATCTACTCCCAGCTACAGACTCCCCAGGGAACTGTGGCTGCTAAGACCCCAGAACCTCCCCTTGGTCAGTGTCTTCCTGAGACCCTCCTCAGTGCAGCCCTACCTGTGAGTGCAGGGGATACACAGTGGCGGCCCCCTGACCAGGAGCAGCACTTCTGAAGTCCAGAGCAGTCGGTGTCCAGGCTGCACGGTGGTCTAGATGACTCTGGCTCTGCTGTGGGGCAGACCCCAGGTCTTGATGCAAACTCCTGGGACCGGTTCAGGGCTGGTAACGGATACAAGTTAACCATATTAGCATAAAAAAGTAGGCGTAGCTGGCAGAGCGCTCTGCCAACAGGAGACCTGGGCTCAGTCCCCAGCACCTGTTAGAACAGGGTGTGGTGGCACATGGCTGGAATCCCTGTGCTCAAGGGAATCAGAAGTTCAAGGTCACCCTCAGCTATATGGCAAGCTAGACGTCACCCTGGGATACACAAGACCCTGTCTCAGATGCAGCAACTGGGGTTGGAGAGGTGGTTCAACTGCTCAGAGTCCTTGCTGTTTTTGCAGAAGACCAAGGTTCAGTTCCCAGCACCCACACGGTGACTCACAGTCACCTGTAACTCCAGCTCTAGGGGATCTCACACTCTCTTCTGGCTTCCATAGGCATTCCACACGTGTGGCACACTCACACAGACACAAAAGTGACAACAGAAACACATGAAGGCAGCAGCCTGGGCGAACTGAAAGTCCTGGGCACATCTGTAGTTGATTCCATGTTCACTTTCAGAGGTTGCGCATGTCCTGGGCAGGAGTGTCTTTGGTGGGGCAGAGGGCCCTGGTTGGCCTTATGGGAGACCTGCTCACACTGGCCCTGATGCCGCTGTCCTTTTCCTATCAAGGTGGGTTACGGGAGGGCTCAAGAGTCACTGGCACTTCAAGCCCAAGGAGTCCATTTGCTGAGCCCTGCACCCTCGTCTAGGACCAGCACTGCTTCTGTTCCTAACAGCTGCACGTACACACACACACTCACACACACTCACTCATTCTCTCTAACACTGACCACACACACACTGTCTTCCTTACACACACTCTAACACACTCTCACACACACTCTCTTACACACACGCTCACACCCCCTCACTCATACTCTCTCACACCTACCACACATACACATGTCTTCCTTACACACACACTCTAACACACTCTCTCACACACACTCTAACACACTTTCTCTTACACACACTCTAACACACTCTCTCTTACACACACAGAAACACACTAACACACATGGTCTTCCTTACACACACATACACACAGTCTCTAACACACTCTCTTACGCATACACAGACACACACTCACACACTAACACACACTGTCTTCCTTACACAATACTCTAACACACTCTCTCTTACACACACACTCACACACACAGAGACACACACTCTAACACACTCTTACACACACACACACACTCATGTTTACTAAGCACTTACTAGAAGCCAGACAAGCTGCTCTGTGCCTGGGCCCCATGCATGGCTACGCCACACCTCCAGGAAATGGATTCCAGAAGAAACACACTAGCAAACCCTTAGAAGGGGGGGCCAGGTGAGCTCAGAGAAAGTCACCCTTTGAAGAGGATTGCACCAGGGTCAAGGAACACTCTTAACAGCCCTGTATGTATCAGCTCTGAGGTAAGGCCTGATGGTCAAGGGCCACGGGGATCTGGTACTCCGTCATGGGTGGAGTGGAGACAGAAGGGGTACCACCCAGGTCCTTCCTGTGAGACCGGCCTGGAGGCTTGGGTTCGGGGTGACAGAGACACTCTTGGTGTCCCCAAGCTTTAAGACACATTGACGGCTCCATCCCCCCTCTCTTGTGCTCCTTGGGCTACTGTGGGCACTGGAGTTGCTGGAGTCCCCCCAAACTGGCTTCCCAGCTGGAGTCAATGCCAGGACCTTAGCATTAGCTCATTTCCCTTTGCTGTCTTGCTCTCTGGGGACAAGTGGCAGAGCGGCTCTCCTTGTAGTGGCTTCTGACATCCGGGGAGTAGTCTGGGGGCAGGACACCATGGGGACAGCAGCCTTGGGAAGGTCCAGGACAGCCTTGCGACCACACTGGTGTGGAGATGTTGTGATGTTGTGGTACTCACTACATTGCATCAGCACCAGGGGCCGAGTGAAGTCAGCTGGCCAGGCTGTAGCTATCCAGCTGCAGGAACATTCACACTCAGTCTGTGTGGATGAGGCATTAGTGCAGCTTCGGGCAGCAACGGGGTCAACCAGGAATGCAGTGAGGACAATGGGTCGAAAAGCCAGACAGCTGGAACTACTACATGCAGGACGTCAAGTCTTAGTGAACAAGACCCTGTGGAACATCACCGCAGGGTTTCAGGGGAAATTGCGTTTAGGTCTCTTAGAAAGGTTGACACTACTTGAGAGCCCATAGGACCCACAGGGAACTGGCCAGGGTTCCAGGGAGTGTGCCCTCTTCCAAACATAGGGAGCACAAGAGGCAAACCTGGAACCCAAGGGACATGCCCTGGGGACACACTCTGCTGGGGGGACAGTGGAGTATTCTGGCCAGAGGGTAGAACCCAGAGAAGCTCACATACAGCACAGCGGACTGCCCAGGGTAGCCAAGGAGGGGCAGCTGGCTTGGACGAGCAAAAGTCTCACTCTTTTGTTGAGATGTGAGCATGAGGGCAAAGGCCAGGGTGGGGGTGGGGTGGGGAAAACTCTCGTGCCAGGAAGGCTGAGGACTTGGCAGTCTTTGTGCCCAGCACCTGGTGATAGACACATGCCCCCATGGGTTTCATTCAAACCTGTGACGTGCCTACTCAGACACATTCAAAGGTTCGCGTATCTGCCAGTGCACCACAGAGACCACAGAGTATCCAGAGGTGCTGTTCCAGGCCCCTCCAGTATCAGGAACCCTAGACAATGCTAACCAACCTGAAGACACCTGTGGTGCTCTGAGTGAGGATGGTCCCCACAGGTTCAGATATTTGAAAACTTAGGCTCCAGCTAGTCAAGCTGTTTGGGAAGGATTAGGAAGTGTGGCATTGAAGAAGGTATATGGCTGGATGTATCACTTTTGAGATTTCAAAAGCCCACGCCACCGCCAGTTAGGCTGTCTCTGACATGTGTTTGTGGATCAAGGTGTGAGCTCTCAGCTACTGCCCCGGCGCTGTCTGTCTGCCTGCCCAGCGCCATGCCCCTCATCATGATGGTCACGATGGTCACAACTTTTGAGACAGTAAGCCCCAAATAAATGCTTTCTTTTCTAAGTGTCCTTGGTCATGGTGTCTGATCCCAGCAACAGAAAAGTAACTAAGACAGCACCCCATGAGGGTAGAGGAAGTTTAGCAGGGCCCTGGAGGGGTAGAAAGGCAGCCTGGAGATGCTGCAGTCTCAGAGATAATCCTCCTGGGTCTCCCAGATCTACAGAACTTTCTGTAGCTAATGAAGAGAATTGTGGCCTCACTTCTGTTGGGAGCAAGTCCCAAGGACAGATGCTCAGCCAAAGCAACCTTAGCACACATGGTAGCATGGGCCCTGCTCAGGAATCCAGAGCCTTGCATCCTGCTGCTGAATACACATGGCTGAAGGTCATGATTGGTGACTCTGCTATCTCCAAGCTATGGGTTTGTCCTTCATTTCCTCATCATCTAGGTGGCTATACAATGTGTGTAGGTCCCAGAGAAAGATTGAGCTGCGTCAAGTTATGGGGAGCTGGAGGTCAAGTGAGGGCTGAGGAATCTCTGTGCAGCCTGCAGGTGAAGAGCCAGACATCTGCCCATCTGACATTGTGAACACCAAGGGCCTCGGGCCAAGCAGACCAGAGGATAGGGGGATAAGGTGTCCCGAGACAACAGAAAGGCGATAGAGGGAGGGCAAAGTCACATTCCGAGCTTCTGGGCTGTAAAGCATGTCCTAGTGAGGACAGAGGCTGGGCATATCCTAGTGAGGACAGAGGCTGGCATGGAGGAAACCGATCTGCAGGATCTAGGCACATTTTCTGTAGATCTAAGACAATTCTAAACCAAAAGAGACTTACGCAAATAAAGGAGAAAATATGGGTGACCCCATAAAAACTGGCTCCAGGCTGGAGAGATGGGTAACAAGCTTACCACACAAGTGCCAGGACCTGAGATCAAGTCTCAGGAGCCAGGTAAAAACAACCTTGTGTAGTGAGGCACACTGTGACTCCCAAGTGCTGGGTTGTTCTTTGGCTACACACACACACACACACACACACACACACACACACACACACACACACCACAGAGAGAGGTGGGGGGGATCTAACAATGGTTGCCCACAAGCAATGTTCTGGAACTCAGTCTCAATCTGACTGCCACAGGGAATTCCCCTTCCTGCTTAGGGCTGGTGACTAACCCTATATCCTAAAAGGATAGTTGACTTGGTAAGAACGTCAAAGACCTCTCCTTTCTCAACTCAAGGCAAACAATGAAACATGTCTTTTCCTACAGATGTCTCAAAGATGGCCAGTAAAGCATGCTTTCTTAGGGACAAGGTGGTCCATAACCTATTTCTGACTCTGTGATACTGGAGCATCCTGGAATCCTTCCCTGCAAGGAAACCGCAGAACCTAGTTTCTCCTGAATGGAAGTCTCTAAGAGGGGAGAGAAGCCATGAAGCTTCTGAGGGTGACAGAGGAGCCTCTGTTCCCATGATCACGGATGTCCTTTGTGTCCTGAAATGCCTTCTATGCTACCCTCACTGGGACTACTGGCCTCAAATTTCAGACTCTCTTATAGCAGGCTGTACTGGGTGAATAGGAAAATGTCCTTGATGGGGGACAGGAGGGAAGACTGCACACTCTTTTTTTTAATTGGATATTGCAGCAAGAGTTTGCATGCTATTAATAACCTAGCACTATACACTGTTCTGAGTTAGCCCCTACCCCCATCCCTAATCTATATGTCCTTGGACAAATATGTACAAGGTTGATCAAGCTCAGCACTCAGGGACATCCCCTTGGTGACTTGACACTGTCTATGGGACAGCACTATACCACAGGTGTGGGCAGACAGTTTTTTCCATGCCTCTGAAGTCACTTAACAAAAAGAAAACAGTGTCTACGCACAAATGCCCACAGAATGAAGGAGGCACGCCAAAGCCATTAAGGAGGGAGGCACGGACACCTGCATCTCAGGGACAAGGCTGACTGCCTGGCAGAGGCATGGCCACTCAGGACAATTAGCTTGCCTTTCACCCATCACTGCAAAGCTTACTGGCTAGACATGAGAGGGAGGCAGCTCTCAGGGCTGTAACCACCCTCCACCCCAGTCTGTTGACTCTCTGAATACAACACAATGTAAAACTTCTATTCCCATCTTCCTGCCTTTGTGGTGACAGACACAACTGTCCCAGTTACAATGTAACTGCGGTCACAGGACCGAGGCCCAGTGTGACCCCAGTTGCATTGCCTGCCAGGCCATGGTCTCTCCCACACTGTGTTCCCACTGGTGGACCTGTTGGGTCCTGTCCATAGTGACCCAGGAAGACCTCCGTTAGGAGAGCATGGTCAATGCTGATGTCCTCCCCTCTTCCATTCTCTCTGGAATTCTCTCTAGCCACTTATCATGTTATTTGACTGGGCCTTCTAAGACCTAAGGGGCCATGCACTGTTCTACCCTACAAGGACCACTCTCCCTCACCACCAGCCATCCCTCCTGCTCTGCCCCTGTCACAGCATCCCCTGGTTCTGCTGTCTCCCAGAGCAAGGGCTTCACCATAGTGAGCCTCTCTTCCTAGCCCGGGGGCCATAACTAGAGTTCTAACTGGGGTCAACCTGCCCATGATCTCCCCAACTAAAGATAGTAACAGTTTAAAGGTGGGGTTCAAGTTCAACAACAGACATTTCCCCAGGAACAGTTCAGTGAGGGAAGAGGATGAGAGACAGATAGGGAGGGACCCCAGAGTCACTTTGTCTTTAAGACAGTGGTGAGGTGGTTGGGGGCTGCCGTGGCTGGCACTGGGTGGGGAAAGCTGAGGTTCAGCCTCCCCTGATTGCCTCCTCCCTGACCTTTGGCTATGTGACCCTTCTTAACCCCAGCTAGGAGACAGTGTGGCTAGCACTGGCAAATGAGGGCGGACCAGGTCACACGCACCCTTCCATTGCCAGATTCCACCGGAGCCTCCACCCTCTGAACCACAGGGTCAGGACTCCAAGGCCTTTTCAGGTCCATGATGACACCCAATGGAAGCCACTGCCCAAGCTAGGAGCTGGAGTAGCATCAAGAGTTGGTGCCAGGGGGCCCTGGAGTGAGAACAGGGAATGTGGGAAGGGAGCAGGTATCGGGACAGGAACTTAGACAAACACCAGATAGGAAGGCCTCTCAGTGTCCCTGCAGGGTGACAGAATGGCTGCTGGCCCTGACAGGTTCCTCCTGGAGATGGCATTATCCTTTAACCCCTTGATCAGCAAGTCTACACACCCAGAACCTTGCCTGGCTCTTGAAATAGGGCAGTGGAAGTGTCAGCCATTCCATCCCCATGACATCACACAGAAGGGGGGTTGAAGAGTGAGCACAGTCAGGAGGGCTTGGCAAATTGAGCCAAGATGGTCTTCCACAAGTTTGCACTCTGCAGATTGAGTGCAAACCCTGATTCCGGGAGGAGTCGGGCCCCCTTGGTTGGGAGGGTCCTCACATAGCCTTAACATGTTAGTGACCCAGCCCTGGGACATAGGAATGGGCCATGTGAGATCCCCTTTGGAGTAGCCAAACCAGTGCTTCTTGTACTCTGGGGCAGCAGCTCTCACATCTCAGGGTGGCCTCAGTTGACACTCCATGACTCTGAACCCTCCCACACGCATCTTGATGAGTGATCAAGGACCTTCTTACTACACAGAAGCCTGTTCCGATCTGATATTGACTCAGAACAAGCAAGTACCACCTAGACACACACACACACACACACACACACACATGCACGCACGCACGCATACACACACACACCTTTGCTAGAAGAGATACTCAAGTTAGGAGCTGGGTCCTGTACTCCCTGCTATTCCCAGCTCCAGCTGTGACAAGGGCAGCCATATGGATCACCTGGTAACCAGCCTGCACATCCTACAAGCCTGCACTAGGGAATGGAGGATATGGGGGCCTCTAGGCATTGAGGCGGGAGGCCCAGGCCCTCCATCTCATTCTAGTAGAGTCTAGACTAGGATTTCAGCTGGGACAAGAGTTTCACAGCAGCCTTGGAAAGGGGCGGTCTCCACTTGGGACACTGGGTCTCAAATGCCACTGTGTTAGAACCATTCAACATTATAAAAGCCACAGATGTTCATGCTAGGCTCAGATCACTTCCAGCCCAGCTCTGAGACTGCAGCATGGTGCAAAACATCCAGAAGCCCTTGCTGTACAGTGAGGTCCAAGGGCCACTGAGGCACTCCAGCCAGGGTGTCGCTCCAGCCCGTGTTAAATGATAACTTTACTTGATCTATGGAATCAGAACTGGGGGGGGGGCGGTCTGTGAAAGTATTCTAGAAGCTCCTGGGGTACCATCAAGACTGAACGACAATGTTCGAGAACGATCTAGTAGTTTAGGAGACCCCTCAGACCTGCACACAGTCCCAGCAACTCCTCCCTCCAGGGGAAAGCGGCTCAGCTCCCCCAAACCCTGCCCCATCACCCTGGACTCACTTAGAACACAGTAGAAGCCAAGCTGCTCAAAGCCCTGGCAGCAGTCAGTCACATTCCTGGACTCAGGGACCTCCACCGCCAGGTACTGGGTCCGGTACACGGTCTTGGGACACTTCTTCCATGGGATCCACCCTCCACAGTGCACGTAGGCTGTGTGGGAGGTCTGCACCTCCTGCAGCTTCTGGACCTTTCGGGTCACCGGGTAGCTGCACAGCTGGTAGCTCAGCAGTGAGAGGCCATTTTCTATAAAGGAGACCGTTGAGCATGCGTTAGCAAGCCAAGGGGGAGAAGAGCTGGGTCAGATACCCGTGACGTGTGTGAGAGGCCGCCCTCAGCCGCAGCAAGTGGACAGAGATTGCTGCTGTTGGACAGGCCTCAGAAGCAGCCCACCAGTCCCAACCCTGGCCTTTGCCATTTCAAATACCAAAAACATCCCTCTGTTTGCATAAACGCAAAGCCATTGGAATCAACCCGTGTGCTGAGAACCCTCCAGTTTAAAGCCAGGAGCCACCCAGGATGGATTTGAGTGTGATATTAGACTCAAGTGACAGCTCGGTCAAGACCATAGACCGTGTCCCCATTGCCACTCTGGTTTTGGTCCCACTTGCTGCAGACTCCCCTACTTATTGGTCTCCATAACCCTGAGTGTGGCCACATGGGCCACAGAGAGATAAAAGTCACCCAGCAAATACTTACTGTGGGCCAGTGGATGGCAACGGCAGCCTTTAAAGATAGAATGTGAATAATCAAACATTTAACGTATGTAAGACTTGCACACCCATGGTATTTTCTTGCCTCTTCATGATGGGCTGTAACCCATGAAATCTTTATCATTTTATGTCACAGAAACACTAGGGGTCAAGGTATGCCCTTCCAAAGAACACTAGAATCCCAGAGCCCAGGGTCCAGGGGGTGGCCTTGTTTTGTGGGCTATGGTAAGACTGCTACTTTTGGAAAAAAGGAAGGTGGAACACACACACACACATGCACACACACACGCACACACACACGGGGAGGGAGAGAGAGAGAGACCGAGATAGACAGGGAGAGACAGAGAAGGAAAAGTTCAGGACAATTCTTCTACAAGCTAAGCAGTGCCAAAGATTTCTAAACACATCAAAACCACAGACTTGGAACACATGGGGCCCCCATGGCCTCAGAGGGAGCCAGGCCAACACTCGGCGACAGACCCTGATCCTTGGAAATGTAGAGGAGCCACCGGCCACTTTGCCTCGGAGTCCTGAAACTCACGTGCAACTTCATATCTGCAATTTTGCTACTGTTATAAATGGTAATGTAAACATCTGTGTTTTCAATGGTCTTAGGCGAGCCCTGGGGAAGGTCATTTGCCCAGAATGGGTCGCAGCCCACATTTTGAGTACTGCTCTAGAATGAGCGAGGTTCCCAGTTTAGACCCCTTAAGCCTCACATTACTCTACAAGTGCTCACATTTGTCACCAGGGCCAGATGGACCTTGGCCATCCCTTTGGTAAAGGCATGGGATACTTAAGTCCCTTCCTCAGAGGGCTCCTTCATGCCAGGGATGGAGCAGACCCCACGAATATGTTATACTTCACAGGGTTCTAGCCCTGTCGTTCATAAAATAATCTCTATGTCCTGTAGTTGTGGGGTTAAGTAGTCCAGGAAATGGTACCTTACACACAGGGATGAGCCAGTAGGGACTCCATGGCTCTCCTGGTGAAGAGCGAGCAAGCAGGCAGCCCCAAGGAAGGCTGTGCCCTGTCCTGTGGCCTCACATGAAGACCTCACAGTGAGAAGACCATGACTCTCATAGATCTCCATGAACTTCCCAACGGTCCACTCTTTCTGTGACTAAACTTTGTGGTTCATACACACAGCATGAAACAAAATCCCAAGTCAAGTCCTCCTCTGGGCAGAAAGCAACCTGGGCCTGACACGAAAATGGAGGCGACTTCAGAAATGGAATGAGTCTCTGAATTCTCAACCAAGTCAGACAGATTTAAAGAGGGGGAAAAAAGACTCATAAGTTTAAGTCTAGGCTTTCAGGAACACAGGGATTGGCTGTGTACGTTTGGTTTGGGGGTTCTGGGGATAGAAGCCAGGACTCACACATGCTGGCTACCCTGAGCTGCACCTCAACTCCACAACGTGTTTTTAACAACTCTGTGAACCACGTTCTTCCTAACACTTGGGCTAGCACCCTTGCTACACCCCTCACTCTAATTCTGTACCTGAGAACATACGCCGCCCTGCCGACCTTCCCTGATCGGTAATTACGCAAGACCTTCTTGCTGGGTACCTGGATCTCACTGTCCACATCCATTTCTTCAGAAATGTACGGCTTCAGGTCCAAACCCAGCCTCAAAATCTGTGTCTCAACCCCACGGACCCTGGGCATCAGAAGCACGCTCCCCCTGGGAAGCCCTCTTTCTGAGAACACTCCCCTGCTCCGCGGTAGCCTGTTGCAATCGGTATAGACAATGTGGCAAGCCAGGACAGGAAGACTCCCTCAGAGATGATGATTGTGGCCTGTCAGGGTCCCAGCGGGCACTGTCCTCTTGAGACCCACTCCTAGAAGCCCCTTCTCCAGACTCACCCCGAGATGTCTCACCTGTGAATCCACTGGCCTGGCCCAGGTCCACAGTGCAGGCCAAAGCCAGCAGGGCCAGCCTCAGGGTCCTGGACATCCTCCTTGGTGACAGTGGCAGTGCAGGCAGGGATTGGGACCTCTGCTGCAGTGACCTGAGTCCTAAGCCAGGCTCAGATGATCCTGAACTGCCCCAGCCCAAAGAAAGAGCCCTTGTGTGCCCTGTGCTGCTGGTGGCGGCAGTGACTTCAGAGGAGCGCTTACTGGGTGCAGTCCCTTATGCCCGCTCATTAACGCCAGCCGCTGCCATGGCTGTTTCCCTGGGGGCACCTGCATGTCAGAGCCTATTCTTGTTCTGAGCAGATGGCATCTTTTCGGAAAGGTGAGTGGCTAACAGCCTCGGCCACATCACTGGGTCTCATCTTGTTTGTACGTAGAAAATGCATTTCAGATCCAAATCTGACTCCCCACATCGGACACCAAGTATTCCGTTACCTTGCTGCTCCCGGCTGGCAGGAGAAGACAGGGCCACATCAAAGTGTCACATCAGCTGCAGGGAAGAGCCTTCATACCACTCAACAATAGGGCTCAGAGGCCACAGCCACCTTCGTCAGCTCCATGCCGTCCCTCCCTAACCGGTGACTGGAGATGCTGTGCTCAAAGAGACACTCTGTGCCCAGCAGGATTAAAAAATGGGCAATTATGAAATGAACAGCAGGAGATGAATAGCCAAGTCAGTGACTGGGGCATATCCACACACACGTGTGTGTTGGTTTTTCAAGACAGGGTTTCTCTGTGTAGCTTTGTAGACAGGCTGTCCCTGAACTCACAGAGATCCGCCTGCCCCTGCATCCCGAGTGCTGGGATTAAAGGTGTAAAGGTGTGCACCACCATCGCCCAGCACACCCAAGGACATTTTAGTACCATCAAGCAAAACTCAGCTGGGAGAGTCCAGAACACAACTTCCCACAATTCCCCACACAAAGATGCCCCTGTGAGGGTATATGGACACAAACACATCTGGGAATGGAAGCAGGGAGAACTGTCCTGAGAGTTGGTAGAAATACCGGTGGTGGTGTTTGCATTCATTAGTTGTCATGTTATGCAGGAGATGGACTTTTAAAGTTTCTGTCTGACCTGGGGGCGTGGCTCGGTTGGCAGAGTGCTCGCCTAGGATGCACAAGCACCTGGGTTCAAACCCCAGCACTGCTTAAGCCAGGTTGGTAGTGTATGTCTGTTACCCCAGGATTTAGGAGGCCGATGAGCAAGGGTCAGAGGATTTAGTCATTCTGTGCTACATAGGGTGTTTGAGGCTAGCCCGGGCTACCTGAAAACTATCAGAGGGACACATACACACAAGTACACACATGTACACACACATAAATATAGACATTCACACACATATCCACATGAATATACCTAAATATACAAATGTACACACACATAAACAGACAAATGTACACATAAAGAAACATGCACATATACATACATAAATATATGTGTACACACTTGTACACTCACATAAATATACGCATGTTCACACGCATAAATATATCCAGGGTTCTCTGAGACCACAATGGCTAGCAGAGTGAAAATCCATAGGAGGCAAGGAGGTAGTGAGGTTCAACTTGACTAAGTAGCCGGTGTTGGTTCAGACTTTGAAAGTCTGACTGTGAGTGGTTTATTTTAGGCACAGCACAATTTGGTGAAAACTCTCCTACTGATAACTCAATCCTGTGTCTACGACAAAACTTAGATAAATCTCCTTAAAGAATAAAGTAGGCTAAATAAGGATTGGGCATGACTACATTGGAACTCTTTGTATAGTACATTTGATACATTCCATAAAGGTGGGTTATATAGATAGACGGAGAAAAACAAGATTATGATAGGGGTGGGGGGAAGATCTGTTGTAGTCTTCGCCACACACAGGGTGCAAAGGTCACCAGGTTATTAATCCCATCCGCTTCTAGACTTCTGGGTGGGTAACAGGTTATTCATCCCTTCCTTGGAAGGAACAACCTTGTGTGTTTAACACCCCAGGTTCCCTTAGGGCTTATCTGTGAGGACAAGAATCTCCATGCCTCCTACATCACCCCCATTTTTATTTTTTAAGGAGAAAATTGTGGCTGTAATAGAGACCAATGTTGAAGGCTTTACAGGCCAGCATAACATAATTATAAGAGTAGCAAACAAAGGACCAAGGGAAGGAGAAAGCCATGTTAACCATGATGGGCATTCGAAGGTCACTTGAGAGATTTTGTTTATCTCTTTACACAAGTCATTAATTTGATCATAGATCATGTGAGTAAGACCTGATATTGTAAAAAACGATACATGGCAGGAAATTGTTGACGAGCAAGATCATGCTTGAGAAACAGACAATTCATAGTAGCTCTGTTTTGTAAAACTGTAGTTATTAATTCACCCACCTCATGGTTGACTTCTGTTAATACTTTTTATGTAATATTAGTAGTTTTACTAACAATGCAGGCCATCTTTGAGACCTCTCTTTGTAGTTCAGTAATCATTCTTGGGACTGGCAATTTAAAAAATAAAAACAATCTTTAGCATGCTGAAAGTTCATACAGTCTCCTATTAAAGGTGTGCCTTTTAACCTCTCAGACAAAAGGAATTTGGATTCAGCATTGGGAAGCTAAGAATTAACGTGCAGTATAGTCAGTAAACATAACAGCATCATTCTGGGGTGGGTAGCATTTTTTCCTTGTTTCCCCATCACCAGCTTATTCTTTCTCTTGGGATGTCTCCTTTGGACGGGCTTATTGTCTACCTCCAGGTGCTGCATTTGCCCAGTGGTCTCTGGAATGCTGTCCTGGTTGGATTCATTAGATCGGGAACCATCTGGGACTTCTTAATTCATTTTCTGCAAAGACATGAGTGTATCGTCACTGCGGTATTACACGAACATCTTGCCCTTCCCATTTAGTTTCTAGATCTTTCCATGTAACGTATACTTCAGGCTGCATCTCCTTTAGGGTAGAATGTTTTGGGGAGGCAGAAGAAGCATTATACTTTACAGTGAAAGAAAGTTAGCACAGCTAAATGTTTATACTCCTAATATATATATTATATCTACATATATACTTTTAAATACTGTATGTGTTAATACTGTGTATGCATCACATATACAGTATATACAAATAATAACAAATACTGTACATATTAAGTACTGTATGTATACTTTTTAAAGTTGCCATTTAAATATTTTATAGAGTCATCCCACAATAGTTTGATCCTATGTGTTATAGGAGATTCCAGTAATATGATTAGTATTCCATAAATTGCACAATTCCTTGAAGTGTTTGCTACTATAAGCAGGACTACTACTGGTTTTTAGTAGTAGGGATTCCTAGACAGGATATTAATGATTAATGGGATCTGAGGTTTTCCCACCCTTGAGAGCAGAAGCAACAATCACATTAGAAAAAGTATCAGCAATTACATGAACCTATTTTAAATGTCCAAGTTCTGAGGTACAATTAAAATCTAACACCAAATGGCTTAGATTTTAACCTGAGAGAATTAATTCTGCCAGTAGAGGGCAGTGGTGTAAAAGAAGAATTGTTTTGTTGTGTTTTGTTTTAAGCAGCCTGAAAAGGAAGTATTAGGAACAAGGAGGAGGCCGGAGCATTGGCTAGAGCATTAGCAGATGTTAGGGGACCTGGAAAATGAGAATCAGCAAGAATGTGGGTTATGAAGAAAGATTGTCATTGTCGTATGATGTGTGAAGGGAGAGAAATAATTGTGACTAACAGTAATGGGCTCAGGTTTAAGTGCCGCGGTTTCTAAAAGAGAAACAGATGGATCACAAAACACAGTGTCTGTTAGAATGTTCAGTGGCTGAGAAACATCCAGTAAAAGCCGATTGATGACAGCAAGTTCCAACTGTTGAGCTGTGCACTCAAGAGCGGGCGTGATCCTTTTTGGTGAAGGATGCACTATTTGTATAGAAGATATAAGCTACTTGTCCTTTTGAAGAGCCATCTGCGAAAGCATTAAAAGCCACCTCTATCTAGGATTTTTAGAAGTAATGTTGGTAATACCCATGGGGTATCTTCAAAAATTCTCAAAAGGAGATCTTTAGGGTAACGATTATCTATACACGGAGAGTAGCATGCTAATGCTACCCGCCAATGATTGTCAGTGCAGAACAAATGACCACCCCGAATTTTATTCAGTAGCACCCTGACTTCTGTAGGCTCATTAAACTAAGTTGTTTAACAAGTGTCCCTCCCATCATTATCAACTCTATAACTTCTTATATATAGGAGTTAGAGGTCGCTGCAGATAATTATGACATCAATTAATTTCTATAATACCCGTTACCTTGTTGGTATGCAGTTCCAGATGGTGATGAGAAAGAAGGGAGGATAAATAATTGATAAGAGAGTAAGGGATTAATTCCATGAGCTACTGCTCTAGTAGCAGCAGGTGTTGTGATTCTTATGGAGTTTATCCTAGGGTCTCCAAAAGCAACTTAAAGAGGGGAGGCAACTCTTTAATACCAATAGGTGGATGAGGACAGTCCCAAGTGACAGCCCCCAAATTTTTGTAAGTGGTTGGTGGTACATTGTTTGGAAAGTTGTAATTGGAGAGGATGATGGTGAATTTGAAATTTGGTGAAAACTTCCTTGGTGATAATTAACTCAGTCCCACACATAATCTTGAGCTACAAAGTTATCTAAATAAAGATTAGACATGACTGCATCGAAATTCTTTGTAAAGTGCATGTGACATGTTCCATAAAGATGGGTTCTACAGATTGACTAAGAGGGAGGGTCCACCCAGTGTTCTGTTTGGGAGCCAGAATCTCATTGTGTAGCCCAGGCTGGCCCAGAACTAGCCCAGATTTGCTTTAAACTCATAATTATTCTGCTTTAGTCTCCTAAGGACAGGGAATACTATCACATATATCTAGTTCAATTTTACCTTTTAACTGATCTTTTCATGAACCATTGGCATTTAGACATGCTTACATCTTCCGATTACAAATAGGAAGGAAGGGATGGAGGGAATGAGGGAAGGGAGAAACATTCTTGTCACTTCCAGCCAGCCAGTCCTTCCTTTTCAGAGGCTACA